ACAGCCATAGAATAAATTCCCACATTGACTACATACTGATGAAGACTAGTTTGCCAACACAGGTTAGAAGTCTCTGTTTAAAGAACATGCTAATTTTATGTTCTATGTCCAGCTAATTTTATCACTCCTTTTAGGATGGCCCATATAAATAAAACAATTTTATTATATTTTTTATTGCTTGAAGAATGCTGTGGATTTTCTGCGTTTTTGTTCTTTGCCCCCAAGCGATTGCATCTGACATTTGAAAAGGATTTTCTGATGACTCTACAACAATGGTTTTACAGCCGCAGTCTCCTTATTTAAATAGTTTGAAGGTAGCAGTTGTCACATTTGCTCACCTATCCCCCCTCAGTGTGGAAGGAAGTGTCTGTGTGGACCTGGAAATTAGGTTAAGACAACGACAGCAATCTGCACGTTCTTTTCTAGGCACCCATTAGTTAACACAGTTGGGAATTGATGACTTAGGGGTGTGGACCAGGCATGGAATAGAGAGACAGAGGGAGAAAACAAAAAGACAGGGAGAGAGAAAATCAGCCCACCTTTTACCAGCCAATCATCAAACAATACTAGCCCTCTGAGCCCTCAGACATAGCCATAGGGGTGTCTGAGAAACAAAAGACAGAGTGGGATAAACAACACACCCCGATACTCACCCATTATCAAAAATATTGTCCCTTGGCTGATACCCGTTACATAAGAAGATACTGCAAGAAAAGTTAGAAGTTAGTCGGCCCATCTACCCCCATCTGGTCATTAGTAGTTAATCAATCCCAGATATCAATTCCAGCTGTTTCTTGAAAGAAACCAGGATTCAGGCTTCAACAACATCGCTGACCAGCTTGTTCCACAAGCCCATAGCCCTGTGGGTAAATAAGTGCCTCATGTTCTCAGTTTTATATTCAATTTTTTATTGGGTTTTCAGAAAGAATATTACATGGTACCATATAAAATAATGATCAAATGTGAACAATCACCATGGCATGACAGTACCAGGTCTGTACTTGTATGGGGACTATGTGTAAATACATTTAAAAATGAGAAGAGATTAATTAGGCCTACTGTATATAACCTGAATATACAATATAATGCAGGTTATACACTGTAACTGTAACATTGTAACCAGAAAATATTCATCAAAGAATATTATAAATATTCAGTTTTGAAGTCATCTTTCTGGAAGGTGCCCAGAACTGTAGAAAGATATGAAACATTACATTATTTTGTGACCATGACTGCAACCTTGAGAAATAATGAAAAAACATTGCTATGAGCAAAAAAACTGTTACACTATTATGACACCTTAATAGTGAAAAATTAGTAAAATTATAACTTTTTAATATATTAAGTAAAATTTGAACCATTTCTTATAATGTATATAATCCTGAAGCAGTACACAATGGATTTGCCTCTTTGTTCGGTATGTGTGTATATGAGTCTGTAATGTGAGTGCACCATTCCACATTAAGTGTGCTAATTATTCCAAAACGATTAAAGTTCCTTTGCTCACATTATACTAAAGCTTTTAATGAACAGTCTGTCCCAGAGTTGTAAAAATGTGCTGAAATATGATATGCTTAAACAACTGCAATGCAAGGCAATGCAACAATGTTCTTAAAAATTAATTTCACTGCCAAAGCCTGGCAAACAACTACCACAGACACAATTGGTAATCAGTTTTGCAATCATTTTTGCATCTTGTTTTTACACTAAATGTTTCTGACATTAGCATTGCAAAAGCAGTAAACATTTTTAATCACTGTGCAACTTTGTTGAAAGACAGGTCTTGAATACTTTTTAGGTACTTACAACATTTTGTTAGAAAAAACACCTGCTCAATGTATAGGTATCTTAAATTGACACTGTACCTAGATTTCCTAGTAAAACAAGGACACACAAGACTACCTTCATACTTATGAGACAGCATCCTTGTCATTATGTGAGGTGTGTCTTTTCAAAACAGATGTTTCATTGTTTATGCATTGTTAAGGCCTAATTTACAATATTGTGTGCTCATAAGATCATCACATTAGATAAATGGTAAGACATTGATGCTACAGAATCAGTTTTAAAAAGGTAACAATTTTTGGCTTTAAATGACAGACGTACACCAAAGGGTTTTAACGAAATTGAATATCTTGAGCAGTGGAAAATACTGGGGTCTTGATACAAGTACTTTAAATCGTGAAAAGTATTGATGGGATAACTTCAAGATCAGCTCTGAAACCAACACCTGAGATTAAGAAGAAATACATTTAAAAATGAAACCAGTAAACACTTCCTACACAAAGGACAGTGAAACCGCCCCGTCATGTTGTCGAAGGGTGATTGCTTGCTATACTTTCAGAAACAGATGAACAAGATCCTAATGCCAATACATTACATTACATTATTGGTAATCCAGGGATGTGACTGAAGAAAATGGAACAGCCTTGTTTTCAGCACAAGATTCTGTTTGCATTATTTGCTGTAATTGTTACTAAAAACAGATGTGGCAAAATATCACAGTTTGAAGGGGAGAGCAGTAGCAGTGCTTATAATGTCTCAATGTCTTTCCACCATAATACCAGGAGATTGAGCTGGACCATATTTCTGCGCTGTACAGTAAAGCTTTATGTTGCAGACATCTGAGCTACATACCGTAGGAATTACAAGGACACAGCAAAAAAAGCAAAAAATGCTTGAATTAGGTGCATCATTATTACTTATCCTTCTGTACATTTCTACATGAAAAGAAAACAGATCATCTTCCCAAAGCTCAGACTGAGGAGCACTAAGGTAACCTGGGCTTTTTAAGTTAACTACGTATAACAGTCTGTTGTAAGGGAAATGAACACTTCTCACATGGGGAAAGTATTTAAACTGAACCAGGTACGTACAATTTACATACTCAAGGACACAGCCGATGTTCAAGAACAAGCTTTATGCAGCTGTACCAGGCATGTTTAAAATACATACCACTCAAAAACCACATTTTGTTTCTATGTTATTTAACAGATCCAAACTTTGGAATATTTTACTATGCACTAGTGTTCATACTCATCCAGTACAAAATAAGATTATTTAGGGTACAGACAAGTATGTCTCCAATTTTCATGAAATGTTTCACCGTGTGAATGTGCAGCACTAGTGTTCATACTCATCCAGTACAAAATAAGATTATTTAGGGTACAGACAAGTATGTCTCCAATTTCGATTAAATGTTTCACCATGTGTATGTGCAGGATTAATTGTTTCAGGTAAGACTATAAGCTTGGTTAAGTAAAAAACAATTTCACACAGCTGTTTAACAGAGATCAGTTCTATTGATTTGTAAGACTGTCACAGAATGGTAAGACTGACAATTGAAGAACTAGAATGACCAGCCAGATGTCAGACTTTTCAGCACGTTTAATTTGAAGACAATTACCCTGCCTCCTTGTGACACTTAGAAGTGCAAGAGCTCTAGCAAGACACACTAGGCAGAGAATAATCACCCAGCAGAAACTTTATAGTCTGCACCCCAAGACTGACTGAGCAAAAGCTGTCACACAATTCCAATGTTTTTATTAGCCATTTTAAAGTGCAAATGTGCACGTGTGTCATCATGGCAGTGCCTGATGAAAATGTTTAGAGTATAACGGCAGACATTCCATGCTTACCTAGCCACACTTGTCACCTGAACATAACTTTGACCAAACAGTCTTGGAACAAACTCAGACTTCAGCCACAGATTTAAACACTTGAAGTCCCAGAATCCTCAGCAGATCATGCTGTTCATGAAGGAAACTCATAAAGGGAAACAGGATAACTCAGTCAGTCATAAAGACACTCCTTTAATTAAACAGCCCTGTGCAGCTTTCTGGCAGTGGTTAGCATTGCTGCCTCACAGGACTAGGACCCTGACTTCGGTTCTTCGGGTGCTATCTGTGTGGAGTTTGTATGTATTCCCTGTGTTCACGAGGGTTTCCTCCCACAGTCCACAGACATGCCGGTAGGTCAATTGGCTTTTGGGAAAATTGGCCCTGGTGTGTGTCTGTGTTTGTGTCCATGTGTTTCCTGTGATAGACTGGCGTTCCATCCAGAGTGTGTCCCGCCTTGCGCCCATTGCTTGCAGGACCCCCATGACCCTGTACTAGAAAACGGGGATAGAAAACGGATGGATGTATAGCTTTATTGCTTTTCAACTATGCACCACCTTACCAAATATAATAAAAGAAACTGAAAACTTCTTTCTTGATCCCACCCATTACCTCATTTATACACTGTTAACCCTGTCACACACTTTAATTGTTCATGCCCATTTACAGATCTTTTCCTTTTCTTATAATGTAATAAGAACATACAATGAAATCCCAAATATAGATCTAAAACTAATTTATATGGCACAAATGATGGTGCCTCTCGGTTACAACTTCTTCCTCATCGTCAGCCATAGTCTTCCTGTGCCGAGAGGTAGGAACTGCTGTAATGGCTGGGATCAAGACAGAGAGCTTCTGGAGTCTGCTTGTGGATCTGTGACAGGATATGTTGATGAATATACATTAATGGCCTACTTTTGTCTTACAGGTGTAAAATATGTGGAAGACCCATGAAAGGAGACATGTTTTTTTAAAGTTATTACACTGCAGTTTGTGTGGGCTGTGCAAATTACACCAATAAACATACAAAAAAATTGTAAACCAAACCGAACCTTGGGCCTTACTTTAAGAAAATGTTACAAAGGAACATGAAGCAATACAACTGATATTTCCAGACAGGTTTCTATTTATATTATGAATCAAGAGCTACATTTAAAATGTGTACCATACTTCACACTGGTATGCATCCAGTAGCAAAAACGTTTCTTCTTAAAAAATGACAAAGAGAAAGCATTCCACAACGGATGAAAATGCATCACTGGCAATCACACACACACAAAATGTTTTTCAGGTTTTGAAAACTGCTCTCTGTTTCCCCTTTGGCCCTTTGGAGTTAAATTCGCGCGGTGGCTCACGGGATAGACTGTTGCCGGTGGGCGCCATATTGGAGTGCAACTATTGTTATAAATAGGGACGAAGGAGGCTGCTGCTTGCTGAGTGTACATGTTTTCAAGAATTTCGTCATAGATCTGTACAGAGAAAGCTCCATAAGGGGTCATGAGAGAAATGTCAGCGTAAGTAGTTTAAGATAACGCTTTTACTGTTAACATCCACCTGGAATTTAGGTTTATTTTGAAAGTTGCTGAAGGGACGGCTCCATATCTTCTTGAGAATACGGATTAGCTAAAGGCCTGCCAGTGTTTACAAGTGAACAGGTTTATAGTTTTGTTCTTAAGAATGTCTCAGTTTTTAGAGAAAAGTAGCCCTTTTACTCCGAGAAACGTTTCGGGTCTTAGTATGAATGCTATTCGGTTCCGTATAGCGGGATTAGTGAGATTCAGTTTCCGTTTTAAATATGTGTTGCAACATCCTATGTCCAGGTGAAGCAATTACAGTCGCTTTTTCAAACTTTGACAAAATCTTATGTGAGCTGTTTTGACGTGAGTTTTGTTAGAATTTCGTGTTGATCGTTTATTGATGATACGCTTGGCATTGCAGTAGCTGCTGGTGCTGCTTTGACCCCGATTTCCTGTACTTCGTGTTCTTGTTATTTCGTGTCGCTTTACCACAGCTGTGGTAATCTGTCAGGTTACTAAGTGGGTTAAAAAAACGAAATAGTGCGGTTTGATATAACGATGGAACAGAAGCTGCTCTCAGACCTACGATAAAGTTTGAATATCCGACGACTTGTCAAGTCAAAGCTTCTGACGGAAAAGGGTGGGGGTGGGGTCTTTATTCGCATTTTTCTGTCTCGTCGAGTTTTTAAGTTGTTTAAGTTGTTCCCGAGATCTAAATCCTATCTTCTGCAAGACTGTATTGTTTTATTGGCAATGCACTTAAAAGTTTTGACACGTTCTCAATATTGACCTTTGGGTCTTTGTTTATAACACGACCAACTCCGGTTTAGTTGGTATGGGGTAAACTTGATCAATAGCAGTAATCGATTCACCTTCAGATGATGGCCTGGGTGCCGACACCCCTGAAGAAGGCTCCACGGCCGAAACGTTGTGTTCTTTCTTCTTTTTTTCAGCATGGAATAAACCTATTACGTGTTCACGTTTTGTCTGCCTAATAATTATGGAGCATAACGGTTCACGTTTACTTTTCCTTGAGTAGTACTTTCTAACATGATTCATATCACTGCATATTTACCAATACCTTATCTTAGCGTTTTGTAGGGTCGTTGATGGAAAGATGTGTACAAAAACCCAGTTTTAAAATATTTAGTTAGAAATGTGGTATTTCACAATGTAACACAACTGCATGGAGATAAAGTATTGAAAAACTTTTTTACCTTTTATCGCAGTAGTAACTTTGCATTGGGGCGGCAGCAGCCTCAAAAACATTATGGAATCACTTCTTCAATCAGTCTGGCTTTTCCCAGAGAGATTGATTACATTTACACACAAAAACTGATTGAAGCCATGAAGCCTTTTGGGGTGTTTGAGGAGGAGGAAGAGCTTAATCACAGGTAACACTTCATTTTTATAAACGTTTGTTCTTGTCATTCAAACTTTTTTCCCCAAAGGAGCAACTGCAAAAGGGTCACTGTAGATAAAATGTGTTTCTTTGGCCATCTGCTATTGGCAATAATTCTGTTAATCGCAATGAAGATCTTAAAGTATTGTGAAACCTCTTGGTAGAAGTAATATCGGATCCGATTAATTGCATTTTTCATTGCTGGCATTTTCTAATAAATACATCCTGCAAATCTGAATCACTTCAGTTTCTGCTGATTAAGCTTGTTTACCATTGAAAGTATATACTGTGCATGTTCAATTCCAATTCACCTTGGTGAAAGATGAGATAGCCTGCATATAACTTCTGTACCATGCATAGACCTATGACAAAGGTTGACCTATGTCAAAAGTTTGGATCAGTCGTGTTGTAACGGTCCTAAGCACAACTGTGTTTTTGTAACTAAACCAAATGTTTCCGAAATCGAGAGTAATTCAGGAGTAAATTATTTGTTATATGATGTTCCATTGGTTTTAAACCCTGTTATTGCACATTTTGCATTGCAGATTGGTTGTTTTAGGCAAGTTGAATTCTCTGGTTAAGGAGTGGATTGCTGAAATAAGTGAAAATAAAGTAAGTTACCCAAGTCCTGATAGTAATTTTTACCACTATGTTCTTATTTATTAAAGCTGAGCCTTTATCTGTGTGCTCTTCATTAAACAGTGCTGTACATGTCCAATAATATTGATTTACTTAGTTTTTTAATTTTTTATTGTTAATCTGCCTTCTTATAAGTCAACTTTATTTATGCTGAAATAGATTAAATCTTTGTAATCTGTCAGGTCTGACTGATGCAGTTTCATGTTTCTCTTGCAAGTGTTTTATAGAGGTCTGCAAATGTTAAATGTTTTGCCATTTTGGTTTTCTTTTAGAATCTTCCGCCTTCAGTAATTGCAAGTGTTGGTGGAAAAATTTTTACTTTTGGATCATACAGACTAGGAGTACACACCAAAGGTATGCCACTTGTTTTGTTGCCTAGGCTGTGGCATAAGTAATGAAAGCTATTTTCAATGTATGTGAGCAGCATGCTCTTCTTGGTAACCGACAACCTCCATACTGAAGCTGACGTGTGTGCCTGGATAGTGAATTTCCAATAAGGGGTCTCAAACCAAACTTGCTCCATTGCCGTTGAACTCTATTACAGTAGCTGATGATGCTGCCGCAGCATGAGGCAAACATTCCTTTGCAAGCTCCAAATGCACACTCCTCAGCACCATCAGTTTGGATTGGTGATTGCAGAGCATATCCATACACTGGAACTGTCTTTTCAATAAGTGCTGGCATTGACTGACTAAGAAGGCTAGTATTTTCTGATATTGGCAAGGGAAGGCTTTGGCTGCCTGAGAATGAGGGTGTTTTAAGAATTGTGACCTCTAAAGTGAAACTAAACTGATCCGTTGTGTTGACCTCATACCAACATTACTGCATGGGTCTGAAACATGAACAGTGTACATTAAAAGCATAAGAGGACTGTAGTTGTTTCATGTATGACACTTTCTGCAAAATGACATTTAATGTAGTAGGACAGATACCAAGATTAGCATTTTCTTACGTGCGAGTATCGCAAGCATCAAAGATCAACCACCATCAGTGTTGTTAGGTTTTATCTAGTCAACTGGATGTTCAATGACGGGACCTTCTTTGAGATCTCCTCTCGTACTAAAGGACAAGTATTGCAGAGGTGATGTAAAAACTAAAAAACAAAGATGTCAGCCATGGATGCAGATCTTCTAGCAGTTGTTCAAGATGGAAGTAGTACAGTTGGTCAGGATTAAAAACTGGCAAGTATCTATTGAGTCTCTTCTAGAGGACCTCCAGAAATAAGGTTCTATGCATGTTCTTTTTTTTATAAAAAGGAGGTCTTGCTTAATTTCTTTGAACAAGCACCAACGATAATAGGTACATTCTCGCATACATTAAGGTATATTCTATATATTTGGAAGGCATTGATCCAGTTCCTAAAAGGTACCTTTACCCTCCAGGAGATTCTTTACTGAAGTAAATGAAGGAGGACAGATGTAGGTAACCGCTCTCCCCTAGCTTACTTTCTCAATGACGGCAACAGGCTTTTATTTTTGAAGATGAGCAAAATGTCCATACAGAAACTTAATTGTTTGTTTTTTTTTTGTTGTTTTTTTTGTATATGATACAAAATCAGACAGCTTAGACAGTTTTATTTTCTTTATTAGTTTACTTTGGCATTGGCAAAGTCACTCCAGTGAACATAATAATCACCCATAAAACAACAAAGTGGACAGGCAGTCTGTTATACTAGCATTTACAAGGCACAGTCTGATTGCACTAGCATCAGGTAGGCTTTTTTTTGTTTGTTTTTCAGGGGCTGATATTGATGCCCTGTGCGTTGCTCCTCGCCATGTGGAGAGGGTAGATTTCTTTCAGTCATTCTTTGAGAAACTAAAACAACATGAAGAAATCAAAGATTTACGGGTAAGCATTCAAAGAATATTGATCATATGGTCATTAAGTACTTTTAATCATATTAGGTGCATTTTCCTTAATGTATTCAGTTTTAGGAACAGACCACAGTCAGTTGTACTTCCAGGTATATGTATTAATATTGTTTTCTTTACAGGCTGTAGAAGATGCATTTGTACCAGTTATTAAGTTTAAGTTCGATGGGATTGAGGTAAGAATGTTGTTTTTTTTTAAATTGCGCAACTAAATTTTCCAAAGTGAACAATCGTCCTAAATGTGTAGTTTAATATTGGTAATGAAACTTGTGATCTTGTGATTTAGGCAATTCACTAGCATCTCAACAGCCATTCAAAAGGATGCGCAAGTTTATCATTAAAATAAGGATTTCAGCGAAGTTAAGCCTTATTTAATATGCAGCCTGCTAGTGGCTGAAAAATGTGTAATACTTCTTTTATTTGATTCTTTTTAGATCGATCTTTTGTTTGCAAGGCTAGCTTTGCAATCCATTCCAGACAATCTTGACCTTAGAGGAGACTCCCACTTGAGAAATCTTGATATAAGATGCATTCGTAGCTTAAATGGTGAGTTTTTTACTCCAAGTTCCAAACGGCTAAACAGACTTAAGTCAGTTTGCCCACTGTTAATAGCTGGTATCCAGTTGTTGTAGTATTTAGGCTCTGTTGTTCAACATCATTTGGGTGGCTTGGGTGTGGTGCTTCATAGTTTTAATTGCATTGTCAAATCTATAAATTTAAGATTAAGTTTAGTCTCTCCTTTAAGTTGAACCACTGTTGCTTTGCATACTTGACAAAGCCATTTAATATATTAAAGCAGGCTATTGGTTGTCCTCTGATGGAGCAACATATGCCAGTGATTTTTGCTAAGCAAATTGCCTAACATAAACAAAAATACAAAATGCTAGAAAATCTGTGTATAGGCCATAGGTATATGTATTGAGGAGAAATCACTTTTGCGGTTTCCACTTACCTGTAATTATCTTAACAGGTTGCAGAGTCACAGATGAAATTCTATATCTGGTACCAAACAAAGAGAATTTCAGGTTGACCCTGAGAGCCATCAAGCTATGGGCAAAGCGTAAGTAAGCAATAGATAAGAATGTCTGTCTGAAAACCTTAGGACTGTTCTTTTTTTAAATGTGCACTAACTTTAAATCCCTGTCTAGGCCGTGGAATTTACTCCAATATGCTAGGGTTTCTTGGTGGAGTCTCCTGGGCAATGTTGGTAGCAAGAACATGCCAGTTGTATCCAAACGCAGTGGCAGCAACTCTGGTGCACAAGTTCTTCTTGGTCTTTTCAAAATGGTGAGTAATAACATGTTTTTGGTTGCATTTTGTATGAAAGCTCTGTTTTTTTTTTCCCCAACGTTAATGAGAGTATGAAGTAGTAATTTTACTTGGATTTTCATAAGTACAGAGAAGTTAGAGGTTTTTTTCTTGTTGTACTCTCGGGTTTCCATTATAATGTAATAGAAGTGCAAGCCTTGCAATGCTCAATTTGTTAGTGTTGAATACAACATACAAGCTAAATCCCAGATTATTACTTATAGTAGATATTGTATATGAAGCAAAATGCATATTAAGCAGGTAAACCTGATAATTGTGTGTTAAAATGAGACCACAAATACTGTTGATAAAATGAAGCAGCTGCAGAATGCCTACAAGTGTGATGGAGAAGGTGCATTGTAATGCAGCACCACTGTTTGCTTGCCATTCTACAGATTGTTTTTAATAAACTACAGTAATTAAACAGCTTTTCTTTGCATTTTCACTACTAGGAAGGTGCTTGTAAAACTATATGAAGTGCAATGCAAAAACATGTCAGAATCAAGATAAGAAGCTAGTTTAGGTTTTATTTGAAATACAAAGTAATAATACTAGGTGATTGTTTGGGTTACAACTTTTGTGAATCTCCAGAAATGATTGCATAGGTTCTGTGACCAAGCAAAACACAGAACATATCTATGCTACCAGGTAAACACTACACAAGTACCATCTCTTAATTTGAACTGTTGCATTATGATGTTTTTTTTTTTCAGGGAATGGCCCAATCCAGTGCTCTTGAAACAGCCTGAAGAGAGCAACCTAAATTTGCCAGTCTGGGATCCACGGGTAGGTATCGGGCTGAGAATAATGGATTGGATTTCTTGATTTATTTGTAATAGTGGTTAACATTATTCCTTTTATTACAGGTTAATCCCTCTGACAGATACCACCTGATGCCGATCATAACGCCCGCCTATCCACAGCAGAATTCAACATACAATGTGTCCACTTCCACTCGGACAATAATGAGCGAAGAGTTTAAAAATGGTAATTAATAGAATTCAGTGGTCATATTGTCCTGTGCTTCTCCCACTTTTCTGTTGAACTGCTGTTACCATTTCTGTATTGAGCAATTGAGACTCATTCGTGAGACTGGCTTCCTGTATATTTTTTCTATTGCAGCCACTGAATGTTTGCAGTAAAAGCTTTTTGTCTAAGGCAATATTTCTTACATGCTTTCAACAGGTCTCAGCATAACTGATGAAATACTCCAGGGTAAAGCTGAATGGTCAAAGCTTTTTGAACCACCTGCCTTCTTCCAAAAGTACAAGTATGTATATAATAATGTTTTGCAATGTTGAGAACCCTCTTATTCATTTTAAAGATAATTAGATTGTAGATCAGTGTACTTGAATGTCTTCTGAAATTTAAGTTGAAATGGTAATTGTATACAGTATGCTGATTAAATGGCTTTTCTTTTTTAGACATTATATTGTCTTGACAGCCAGTGCATCAACAGAAGAGAACCACTTGGAGTGGTAAGTTTATAGTTTTGTGCATTATAGAAGTCAAAAATGATTTAATTCTGTAGTGATTTTAGGTTCTTTAAGGAGGTGGATGTCTGGCTTTTGCAATAAGATACAATGCTTTCTGATTTCTCAAATTTGTTTTGCATCCAAGCATGTATATTTTTTTGACACAGTCTTACAAAAATGTATCAACAATACAAATAAGCATTACAAGAAAACTAAATATTACACAAGACATCAACCTATAGATGGCCATTATACATCCTTCATCCTGGAATCCACACAGCTTACCAGAACCTGTACGTCTTTTTCCACGCAATTGCCCAAAGCCCCTGTATACTAATGGTTGATTTCCCACAGATATTTTGGTCCTGTTCTCATAAAACAGCGCCCAAGCCAAACTGTTTACTCTGTATCCGTTATCGTCTGGAAGACGGGCTTGACGGATGCTCTGCACTGAGATTCTTACTGCGGTTTTTGATGATGCAGCTGTAATAAGTTGTGAAATTATATCAGCCTTCCATTTTCAGGATTGGTCTTGTTGAATCCAAGATCCGAGTTCTTGTCGGAAACTTGGAGCGCAACGAGTACATCACACTTGCACATGTAAATCCACAGTCTTTTCCTGGGTCCAAGGAGAGTCATAATGAGTGAGTCAATATTTGATTTACAGCTGTTTGTCAGATCTAGTGTGCGTTAACAAATTACTTTTGTATGCAATTCACAGAATACAAAACTATTGTGTACTTGTAATCTTTTTCAAGTATGTAGTAGTTAATGTAGGAATGGTGCGGAGGTCGCAATTACAATTTTAAGTTACTCCGTATAAATATGTGTATTATATTAGATCGCACTGTCTGATGGGAATTTTACTTTTGCTCAAAATTGTTTTACTTACAGATTTGTCAATGAAGCAGTGTTGCTTTCCTTTAGCATGGAGCTCTTTTAATTCAGTGTTCTTCCTCCAGGTTAAAATGATGCAAGTACTGTAGTCGTTACACAAGCGGCTTTACTATTACTTAGATAATTTTCAGAAGTTGCTGTTCAATTTTTGCTATGCTCCTGATCAAAATATTTGTGGTTTCAGAATGGAGTTAACTCCTGTTTTAGCTTTTCTAATTATAGTACATTAAAGATGTTTCAATGCCTATACTTTATGACCCAAGTACAGAAGAGTCCAAATAAACAGAGCTTCACATACAAGCAATATTCTTTTCTCATTTACTTTTAAAGTTTTAGTAGGTTTTCAAGCTACAGATAATGGTTAGGTTTTTGTTTTGGAATGATTTGTTAGAATGGTTAAATTTTTCAAAATATTTAATTGCTAATATCTTGAAGGTACTTCCAATTTAAGGTGAAATGATTGATCCTTAAAACATTTTGGGCTTCAAATCATAATGTTTTTTAGACTAAAATGGTTGAATATAAAGGTTGCAACGCTATCAATTCCCACTAGAGGGCCATATAATGTCGCTTTTTTACTTTGATAAGAACATAAAGGATTGTTAAATCAGTTGTTTAGATCCTGGAATTTATACGTTTACAAGACCATCTTCACTTTGCAGGGACCTATGATTTACAATTTTAAAATGGTCATAAAAAACTTCTGAAATTGTTTTTCAAGGTTTTACATTTATAAATTCTTTTCCAGAAATGACTTTGTCTCAATGTGGTTCATTGGTATCATCTTTAAAAAAGTTGAAAATGCAGAAAGTGTAAACATTGACCTGACGTATGATATCCAAGCATTCACTGATACTGGTAGGCTCTTCAAATTTTTAAAACTATTTATGTATTGGTATATATTGTCTTCCCCCACATGGAATAATGTTTTGTTAAGCAGTTTTAAATACTTGTGACATTATGACAAAGCTCTCATACACTTAAATGCAGATTTGTTTTGCCAAATATCAGTTTTGATCTTTGTCAGAATTCTTATTGAAATGCATTTGTCAATGAGTAATGAAGTTCCTGTTTTTAACCTTAGCCAAGTACTTTTTCATCCTATTAAAAGGTAGTAGAGCCTTTTGCATAAACAATAGCTTTACCTGTATTAAATGAAAGCTGATTTAAAAGGAATATTAAAACTTCTCTAGGACTTACCAGGTTGTTGCCCTTGTAATTATTTCACCTGTGGTTGTCACAAGCCACATTTTTCAACATAAAATTATTTATCTTAATTTGTAAGCTGCTTAACTGGGACCTTCATTTGCAGCAGGTTCTTATAAATGCTACCTCTTAATTGTTAGGCTTTGTCTAATGCAACCCCATTAATGTTTACCTAAGGTTGTTCAGATGAACCAATTTAATATACAGTTTAACAATGTTAAGGGAAATCAGATCAACTTTTTATCTTGTCTAACATGTTTTTCACAGTATACAGGCAAGCAAATAACATCAACATGTTGAAGGATGGTATGAAGATTGAAGCAACCCATGTGAAAAAGAAGCAGCTTCATCAGTATCTGCCTCCAGAGGTTCTGCAGAAGAAGAAAAAGGTATCCTGTCACGTCTTCTTTTTCTTGTTTTGTCACTTTCATTCTAGAGTATCTGACTTTGTTTTTCTTAAAATACCAGAGCATAGCCGAAATTAATCGTGCCTCAGATGGAGGAGGATCAAAACGTTTGTCGTTGGATGGAAACCCATTAGACAGCTCCAGAGATACTGATTCTGGGACACCTTTTAGCTCTCCTACCCCTGCAAGCAACCCTCCTAAACCAGCTAATACAGAGAACAAGTAAGTGGTTTTCAAAAGTGGAGCTTTTTAGTTTGTTATACTGCTTATGTTTTATGAATTATCAATGAACCATATCTACATTTTATCCAATACAACTGATTTTTTTTATGCCCATATAGTATTACACCAAACAAAACTGTTCCTGCCTCAAACAGCAATACATCAAACAAAGCTTCAACTTCCTTGTTTATGGATGGTTTGCCAGCCATTGATGTTTCTCCAAAGCCTGAACAAGGAATGTGCATTCCTGTCATAGGATCAAGTAAGTTTTAATAGTATTTAATTTTTGTATTGTAATGACAAAGAAAAACGCCGTAATTTAATCTGTATTTTTTATTTAGAACCTGCGCTGATTCCTGCCGGTAGTACCATCCCTACAGTTGTAGGCAGGAACGTTATTCCTCGATTGTCACCAAACAGCCAACCTCCCCATCAGCTGCCTAATGGAGTTGCAAATGTAACCATTAATGGTAGTGCCCCCAAAAGACCACACTCTCCTTCCCTGGAGGAATCGCCAAAGCGCCTCAAAGACACAGAAAAGGTGACTTCATTTGCACTTTAAATGAATGAAGATATTTTTAGTTCTAAGGTATAAGGGAACCTTTGATTTAAGGGATCTTTGGCATGTAGTTTCTGGAAAATGTTTCACTTAATGTGAAAATAATTGGGGGGGCTTCATAGAGATCTGTTAAAACGTGAAATGTCACACACTCCTCTTTTCTACAGCTTATGTTCTCTGATGATTGTGCATTTAAAGAACCTTTCACATCTGCAAGCGATGGGCAAGATCAAGTTGATGGTCAGGTAAGGGTAAGTATAAGCAGTGTTTGACTCCTTGCTGCTGGTGTGTACTCTGCCATATTTATGCCATGTTGCAAATATGCAAGACTGAAGAGACAAGCTCAAGACTCAGGTGGTCTGCACATATTTAAAAAAAAACTGGACTTGGTAATTATGTAGAGCTTTTTGCCTTGTTTTAATTGTACACCCAGATTTTCTAAATGCTGTTTTTAATAAAATGGCAAATCTGAGATCTCCCTGGTGGCCTTACTAGAACTGTAGCTACTGTTCCTAACATTCTTAATTTGCTGCTTTTGTAACAGGAGAGACTTAGTGGAGTTAAGCCTATGCCAATTCCAACCATTGACACTTCAAGATCCCAGGTACAGTTAATTAAAATCCATGTGTCTGGATCACGCTAAACACTTGAAGCACTCTGCTTCTTTCAATCTTTTATCACTGGATTGCAGCGTGGTGTAAAATTTGTATAATGTACTAAAGCCGCCATATTTCAAGCCTTTGTATTTAGTGTTTCTTTCGAGAAAACTGTAAGTAACTAGGTAATGTTGCTTTTACGATGTTTGACCTCTTTGCTTTTTATTAACCACATATATTGTGAAGTGAACGTCTTTCACAAACCTGAATGGCCATTTAACTTGTTCAGAAATTAAAGGCAGACATCAAGGTCGCATAAAAAAGTGAAATGAAAAATACATCAAAACTGTGAAACAAATACACGCACATCCCTGTATATGGTCTTTGCTCTTGTATGTTTCACAGAGACTGTCCAGTAAGGAGTTACCAGATGCATCATCACCCTTGCCTACCAGTAATCTACGTGTTGTAAAAAACTCCATCAGGCTGACCCTAAACCGATAACATCACTATCTCTCTCCAGGTAATTCATTTTGTATATTGATATTACATCTGTTTACTTTTAAAATGCTCTTTTGGCTACCCCCTATTGCCCAAAAATGTTTTGGATCTGCGATTGCCTACAGTAAATGTTCTTGTTGATCAAGAGGTGTTTTCTGCCTGCGGACATTTGCAGTCGTTTCCTGGTAATCCGAAATCTACTGAATCAAGACCACTGGAGAAACTTTTTTTTAATTGCCTTAATGTTAAATTGCATACTTGTAGATATGTATATAATTTTGAAATTACTGTAAATCTTTTTTGAAATGCCTAAACTGTAGTTTTTAATAATGGAAAAAAATGTAAAAAAAAATACTGTATTGTTTTGTTGTGTATAAGATTTGCAGCTGTTACTGTTAGAATCAGTCCTGGCAAATTTTCAGAAATCTGTTTGATTGTTTCTGCTCCTCTAATCAATGCAGATTTACAAGCGGTTACTTAGTGTCATTACCATCTGGAATACACTAGGTCAGACTTACTCAAATGGATCATGCCTTGCTGCCTAGATGGATCAGCTGATTTTTTTAAGGATGCATGCCTCCTATGGAGGCTCTATAGAAATACATATTTCTTTTGGAAAACATTTTTGGAAGTAGTCATAACTTGACCTTGTAGAATGGTATGACTAGCTCCATATCTGCTGAGGTTAGATGTACAGAAACAGTTTAAATGTATTCATTCTTGGGGTTCTTATTTCTATCCACCTTCATACTGTGTATTTTTTTTTATGTAATGGATTTAGTTTTTCTCATGACCATCTAACTGTCAAAGCCTATGCAGACTTTGGTTATCACTCCTCTTAAAATGCAAAGTGATAAGTGTAATCCACTTGGTTTGTTTTTTTTTTGTAGGACAAGTTGTATCTGAAAGGGTATTTTTGTAAGTAGTGTTTGAAATTGCCATATTTGAAATAAGAACAAAAATCCATAAAAACCCCAGAACTGTGTCCTTGTCTTCCTTTCTGAAATGTTTTCTCAATTCTTATAAATGCATTTTTTTTTCCTGTTTCATACTATTTAATGTATTTGTTCTAAAGAACAAGCACATTGAAAAGGTCTTATTCACTGAGATGGCATATTTAGGCAAACATCATGTCAGGCGTTCATACTCTGAATAACCTAACCTTTTCAGAAATCCTAAAACAAAACTAGGTCACTAACTTGAAAGTAGTCACTTGCAGCAGATCTTTATAGTCCTTTTAATTTAACTACCAAGCTGTAGCTTTTAGTCCTGTTTCTTTCAAATACTTTAGAGCCTCTAAATGTCAAAAATAAAGCTTTCATTTTGTTCAGGTTTTTTTAAACCTTTCACTGTGAGCTTTCAAAGTATTGAATTGTGTATGTATATAGTGTGGCCTGGATGAAAGAGAAAGAAGCTGTCAGACTTGACCAGTGTTTTGGGCCTTTCAAATATCTTTACATTACTCTGGGGAATGTCAGACATTCAGAGAACAGAGGTTTCAATTAGTAATTTCCTTACTGTTTAATTACAAAATTAAGTCTACTATGTTTTCATACCAGTTTGGCATGGGCCCCACACTTGAAAGAAGGAGGGGAAAGGGTAGAAGCTATTTTTTTTCACCAAAAGAGTGTGGAGTGGGAGTGTGAAGCAAGCTTTGTGCTTCACTGAGAAATGAGCAGTTGCTTCTATCAGTGTAAGACTTATCTTGACATGGGGGTGAATTTGAAGTGCATTTTGAAGATTGCTGGGATCCAATTTCTGTACAAAATAGGTGAAGATGCAGTTTTCCACTGTTGTAGTGTAGCATAATACAATTTAGTGCCATGAATATTGGTGTAAAGTGTTTAATTTATAGTTAATTTCATTTTAGCTATCTTGAACCTTGTTACTCAAGTGAATGTGACTAAATGCCGCTTGAGCCATGCAGGGCGAGACGAGTTCTGCTTAGGAAGTTCACTGCGCGATGTTGCAGCTGGCCCTTGCATACCAGCTCTTTAGTCAGTTGTCCTGGAAGGTGACTGATGTAGGACCTGAAAGGTAAGTGTGTATCGTCATATCTGAAGGGGTGTGCAGCTGCGTCTCAAAATACTCAAATGTCCTGGTGTCTTCAGTAATTTTAAACTAATATGCCATGTGAATGTGCAGGTGGGTATTGTAGGCTGACTATTCCAACATGTATTCACTCTTATGGAAATTGCCAGATTTTTAAAGACGTATCAATTATATTTGCATCGATAAGAGCTACACTACCAATACGATGCGTGTCGGCTCATTTCCGGTGGGATCCACGCTCAAAATCCTTGGATGGACGTGTATATTAGAAATGTGTGAATACAAATCAGGTAAAAATATCAATGTGCGGTACCGTTCCTTTTTTTTTTACCCATATAACCTATCAGCAATGGTAATGTCAGTCGAAAGAAGCCAAAATGTCGGTCTTCCGAGGTTTCTGTAACCTGTTGCTTCTTTGCACTGGCCACAATTGTCCTACGGTATTCACTTAAAGACGTACCTTCCTATGGCTGTAGTTCACTTCCTTTGTAATAAAATACTTCCGCATATTCTTAGCGTCTTGCAACTGGGAGATTCCCGGCTCGCATTTTGTGGGTGTGCAAATTCACTGCTGACGGTGGGGGATTACCCTCCATACAACTCTTTCACCCCAAAATATAGAATACTTTTTAAACGCATACTATTCAACGCCTAAATGGAAAGGTCTGCTTTCTCAAATGGCGTCGTCTATATTACATACGAAAAAGAAAGTATATTTGTTTTACGATGCTGTGGTTAACTTACAGAATAAAAGAATCTGAACGTTATATGCGTCAGTTTAATGCCATTAATGGCTTGGCGAAGTGTACAAATATTTATAGTGGTTACTGTAGAGGGTTCTTGAGATAGGCAGAGCCTTTAACGGCCCTCGTCAATTTACCTTTTTTCTCTCTAAAGTTTGCGTATTTCTGCTGTGCAGGGGGTTTCTTAGTCATACTAATAATGTGTATAGCCTTTGGTGGCTGAATTCGCTATGCTAAGTCGGAAGCCGGCAGGCAGCACCTGGAACCTAATTTAATTCTTGACGTCAGAGATGGAAATTGAACTGATTGTGTCGTGTATACAGTCGTCGAATAGAGATAAGTGTCCTTTGAAGGTTAGAGTGAAATATCAAAAAACCACAATTTTAAACAGGATAATTAAATACTGCGGCTTTTAAAGCGTGGTGATTTTTTTTCATGGGGTTTCTCTTGCCCCAACAATAAGCTTTTTTCTTGCTTAATGTACAGAAAATATTCAGAAACTACGTTTTTTATCCGTATTCACTTGAAGAAAATACATGCAACAGTTCTGTTTTTTTTTTACTAAATTCAATCCCGCTGTTGTGTTTACAAACATCTTCTTACATCTTATGCAGGATTAATTATTTTAATGATCTCTTTTAAGTTTATATTAAGTTTTTAACAGGGCTTTTGAATGAAATGACCCAGCATGAAATAGAGCGTACCACAGACGTATTGCCTATTACAACCTAAAAATATATATTTTTTAAATTAAATAACCCTGCTATATTTATTTGGAGACGGTCGGGAAAATTGTTTTCAACCTTGTGTAATAAATGTGTGCGCTCAGTAAGGATTTAAAAATTGCTGCATAGTGGGTGGAGTAAGTGATTAGAAGACGGACAGTTGTCAAATAATGAGGTTTTATCGTAGCAAGCAATTTTACTACGCGGTGAATAATATTAGTGTCATGTCAATACTGGCATATACTGATACATCTGAGTGAATCACAGAAACGTAATCTAACCTTTGGTCTTTGGGGATATGTGATATGTAGGCTATACACAAATCTGCTAATATATGTGTATGCGCGCGCAAAACAAATATTTGAATACATGGGATTATATTTCACATTTTATTGTTCCGCTTTGAGGGGCTGGCCTTAGTTTACAAGGAGGAGGTACTGGGGAATTCCCAGAGTAAAATATCTTCATCGTTTTCACAATCAGTACATAAACCTTCCAGTTCCGAGTTTCAGTCAAGACTTGCCAATTAAATACCATATCTCATAAAGGGGTTCGAAGAATGAACGGTGAGTTACATTTTTTTTTAAAAATTTGTAAACAACAAGTTTGTAACTAACAACGAAATCAGTTTCGCTCGGCTTTCGGAAAGCTTTCGGTCTTGTTTTTTTTTTTTTCCATGGGGAAAACAGTTTAATATAATGGAACACCGAAATTAAACTGGTAGATCCTAGTGTTAGTTACTGTATATAATTTAATATGTCAGACTTCATCATCAGTACATTGCTGTTACTTAACTTTCCCCGTTTGAGGTAGCATGGTAATATGATTGACGTTAGTCATGAATTTAAATTTTGGTCTCGAGGTTGTTGTTTTTTAGTTTATAAGGTCGTTTTTCTCTACTTTAGCAGATTTTACAAACAGCGTGATAGCTGAATTATATGCGGAAAATCCAAAAACAATCGTAGCTTGATTAGCTTTTCAAATAGTCACGCCTTCCTGCTTTGTCGAGTGACGATGTAATGTTTTACTGTCAAATCAATTTAATCTTGAACGTCGCTCTGTATGTGGACACTATTAAAAAAATCTAAAGTTGTCTAACTTACAATTACGTTTGATTTAGTATGCTGTTTATAATTGAAAAAAGTTACATATTTCTGACTGCATTCAATTAAATAAGTTAATCACATTTAGTTTAATAATTTACAAGTGGTGTCTTAAGTTTGAATCCGTTTGATCAATTCTATAGTATAGTTTTTTTAACACGTTATTTTATCACAAGCGAAAACGGATAAATACGGAAGGAAAATGATGTAGGCTGACGGGGGTGGAACAGAGAAACGAAAGGCTAAATGTTTTGAATATTTATGCATGTAAAGAAATCTTTTCTCTTATGAATTGTCATCCACGTTTAGAGAAAATTAAACTAAAGCCATTTCGAAAAATCAGTTTGGTAATGGCGGTGAAAAACTCTCGTTATATCCAGTTGCAGTATCTGGCGGACTTATAATTGGGGAAGTAATGAAATTCCAAGTCTCCGAATTTGTCATTGACTCGGGTTTCACAGTGACATAAGACTGACGTTTATTCATGTGATACGTTTTGATTACTTTTGTTTTTGAACGTGAAGCAAAAAAAAAAAGCAACATGTATTGTACACAACCTTGATCGTCGCTTTACTCACTGTAGTTCAGTGTCACACACAGCTAAGAGCCAGGCGCAAGCATAGATTTAGAGCACTGCTTCCCTATTCGCCAGTGCGCCCGAGTGTTGCATTGACTTCTGGTGCCTTAACGCGCTGGTAGCGGTGTGCGCCTAACTGCGCTGTCACAGCAGGACTTCTTGTGAAGATCTTAACGGGTTTACAGTACGAATGCAAACCAGTGGGCAATGGTTGGTAACCGGGGGTTCTAGCCTTAATGTATTACAAGTCATTCAGTATTTGCAGAAGCGCCCGTGCGGTCGGGTACTTGCGTGGGGCCATGGACGTGTGTATGTATGTAGGAGTGCGTGCGTGTTTGTGTTTTATACTTCGCCCTGTATATTTTACGTAGAGGCGTGATGTAGTGCTCTGTTTGTATAGCCCCAGTACGAAGGCCTGTTTTTTTTTTTCAGTTCTTAACATTGCTGCCATAAATCCGTTTATCTCGTGTTATGGCATTGCTTTTTACCCATTATCGCCATTGTTATTCTAATAAACCCAAACAGTATGATGTTTCTATTAAAGAATACCACATGTTAATTTTGCTTCATTGTGCCCTTGTTGACACATTACATATATGACTCACTGAATCAATCAACCATCCAAAACAGAAGCATTTTTAATATGCGATATATAGGCTCTTTTTACTATAAAAAGTTCGTTGGTGGCTCACTGACCTTTTCATGGAGATGTACAGTAGATGAATCAAGGTGAAAGATATTGCAATTTTCAGCTGTTGTAAAGACAACCTGAAAACCAGCTTGTTGAAATGCTATTGCTTTGTGTGAGTGGAATTGTCATGCTACAGTATGTCATTTCCAACATGAGTAATGCTGACAGAGCTATAGTTTATGTTGTTCTATTTCCTAACTTTTTTCAGTACTACCGCCTGTGGTTTCGATGACCAGGAATCCCCATGTTTTAGGTAAGGTTCAGTAATGTGCCACTGTACAACAACAATGGACTACAGTTTTCTTAATGCACTTTTCTCAATGCCCAGTTTTCTTAATGCACTTGTTAAACCCCATAATCTTGCTGTGGGGGCAGTAATTTATGTGAGTTCCATCACTCCATTACTCATCGCTTTGCTATGAGTGGAGGAGGTGTGAGCCCGGCAGATTTGAAAGGCAAATGTGTAACTTAATTTTTGAATCAGAGTAAAGAAAACCCCGCTGGGTGACTTTGTAAAAAAAATGAAGTAAATACCAAGATTGATTTAGGCTTTTTAAAAAAAAATTAACCTAAGGTGTCATGAAGCAAAAGGAAAGTGTGAAGACAAGGAAATCTGCTTTCTGACACGTTTCATGTAAAATTGTGTCAATGATGGAGACTTTCCTAACAGACGATATGTCAAAATCCCTGTTTTATAGACATCATAACCTGATCATTTCATTATTGTTATGGATTTCTCAAATATCAGATTTCTCAATTTTTGTCATTAGATCCCAGAAGTTATTTTTTGTTGTTCAACATGTCAGGAAATGTCATGTAATTTCCTCCTCACTGGTGTTGTAAGCAATCAGTATAAATTCACATGGATTATGTACTTCCTGTTTAAGTTAAAGCAGTCAGTGCAGTTGGTTAAGGAACTTATGAGACCTACAGTATGCTACTACCTGCACGGAGAAAGGAAGTAATATACTTAAAAAGGTATAAATACTTCTTTAGACATCCGAGCAGTGCTGAAATATTCTGTTCATTTTGAGTTTGAGGCATGAAACAGACTTTATCATTCAGGATATCATATCTAAATGATTATTACTACTTGACTGTGTTCCAGCTGAGTCACAGAAATTTAATCAAGTCTTTAATTAGTATGTAGGTCTTTGAAGAATCTCATGAGTGAGATCATGGCTTTAGGTTTGCCTGGAGAGGTTTGTGGGCATATTAATTTTGATCTTATATCATATTTGCCCAAAGATACTTTCCTGGTGTCTTTTCATTAGACTCTGAGTTACACATTTGAATGGAGTGATCTTCTGTTGACCTTTTTGAAATTCATTATAGTGTACAAGTTAATAAAGTATGAGATTTACAGAGATGACAACTGCACATTCTGTCTAGTTTATTTTATGCGTACACTTTGAGCTTAAAACTATTTTAGTTTGCTGCTTTTAATCAAGACATTGAAGCTGTTTTGAGTGTAAATTTATCTTCTCCATTAAGGCAATTTCATATGCAAATGATTGTTTTGAGAGAGAATAGAGGAAAACAATTGTTTTTTTTTGTGGTATGAATTCTTTCATTATAGTTTACAGATCAGAAAAGGTGGAAATCTATTTATTTTTTATTATTTATTTCTTACTTTCTAAACTTTATAATTTAACGAGATTTATCCTAGGTACTGTATGTAGAGACAACCCTGACAAAAGTTTTCAGTGCATCTGTTTGGCTTTTTGGGTAAGAGTAAATCAGCTGTACAGTTAGGCAAATTTTTCGTGGCTGCTTTTAACATACGTTTGTGTTTCAGCTGGGGAGCCCTGTGCTCAGATATTCGAGGAGCCCAAACAGAGGGGGATGCGATTTAGATATAAGTGCGAAGGACGATCAGCAGGCAGCATTCCTGGCGAACGCAGCACCGACAACAACAGATCCTATCCCAGCATACAGGCAAGTGTTGTAGTTAAGAGTTACTATTATAGACGTTGACTTCAGACAATGGAAGTGCGGATTGATTGTGATCTGTGATCAGTCACTCCCAGGCAATGGGGTAGCACAGCTTTTTGTCAGCACTCTCGTGTTTGTTCCACTGGAGGCACTAGTAAAATATAAATTGGTGACCAGAAGTGCAATTGTGTCTCTTTGAGCAGGAAAGAATGCATTTGCTTGGGAATGTGATGCTTGGCCGTGTTTATAACTTACATTTTTTTTAAACACAGTCTTTTTGCACATAGCATATAGTCCTGTAATTAATAAATACACATTCATTTCTACAGTCCACTTTGGAGATGTAAAATATGTACAACACAACCAGGTTCATAAATGCATTGAAAACTTAATGTAATTTGAGTGTGACCTTGGAGATATGATTGTCCTGGTCACTGTGGTTTGTAATGAGCATTTTATTACCCTTTCTGTCAGTTTATGAAATAAGATATCTCTGTGATATCTATGATATCTATGATGTTTATTCATCGCTGGTAGGATTGTGGTGAGTTAATAGTGTTCACATAAAGTTAGTTGTAAGTAACAGGCGTGGATGTGAAGTTCATTGAGAATTCATAGCCCTTTTATAACTGCCTGCCAGTCTCCAGAGAGAGCAGCTTACTGCCAGGATCCTAGAAAGTAGGAAACAAGATCTGCTACTGTGTTCTTAACAAGGAGTCTAAAAAATGTTTTCACATTGCTTCTAAATTCTGATTCAGGGAAGTACTTTAAAGTAAAGTTTCGTCATTAAGATTTAGTAGAAAAGGTACTATTAGAAAAGGTTTATTATTTTTTTAACTAAACTGCTCTCCTATTAAAATATATTCAATGGTTTGCCATGACAAATGAACACTGAAGTGAAGTACTGCTAAATGAAATAATGGAAACGCTCTAAGAGTACAAGTGGCACAGATTGTGTGAGACTGCATTGAAGCAAAGTAAATGTCCAGTTTAGATATCATACAATCATGGGTAAAAACTGCAAAACAGTACAGTAAACAGCCCTCAGCCTGACAACTAGTTGTTTGGGTATTAAAATGAACAGTTTTTGTTTTGCTCTCTCATCTCTCCTAGATTCTCAATTACTGCGGAAAAGGCAAAGTCCGAGTTTCGTTAGTGACAAAAAACGAGCCCTACAGGCCTCATCCACATGACCTGGTTGGAAAAGATTGCAAAGATGGATACTATGAAGCAGAGTTTGGTCCAGAGCGAAGAGTTATAGCGTAAGTTACACTCATTTTGTCATTACAGGCTTATGACTTATTGTTGGAATAAGCAATAATTGCCAGATGGTCCTACAGTTCAGATTTAGAACATCAGAAGCTGGTTGTGCTCATGTGAAACATAAGCCAGTGAAGCTTACAATGGATAACATACAATTTTTCTAAATAATTGATCAGTTTAGTTGAGATCAGTTGACTTGCCTAGTCGCTTTTTTTATAAGGTATTCATTTGGAAATCCCTCTAGGAGTAATACATGTCTAATTGTTTTTATAAGGATAAGAAATTAGTTTTTTATCCTTCCTGAACCTTTTATTGTTCTATGCAGTGACTTCTCTACTCAGTATTATATTCTTAGAGTGGTGTAATAGCATACTGTGGTATCTAGAGTGATGAAATGGACTTAAAGGGATAGTGACAGAATGCCTTAGTAGACTCCATCGATTTCATCATCCACCCACACGTCAGTGTTTGCTTCCCAGTTTTACCAAGATGAATGTTTTTTTTTTCCCATGTGGGAAATGATCTGGGGAATCCCCTGGTAAAGACCATAATCTAGTCATATGCAAACTACCTGTTATTGAGTTTAATATGATCTCCATGGTTTGATGTTTGATGTTATGGTCCTGCAGTGTCAGCCCTGTGAAATCTGGAAAAAAAAAACAGTTCCAACATATAATTGTGAACAGTGCAGTACAGCCAGTTTCCATTATGGTTCAGTAAATCTAGAGCTTGTGTCTATAATCTTGGTTAACCTAAATGACAGATTCCAGAATCTGGGTATCCAGTGTGTACGGAGGAGAGAAGTTAAGGAAGCCATCATGCTGCGAATGACAAGAGGCATCAATCCTTTTCAAGGTGAGGATTTCTTTCAATAATGTGATTTAAAGTTGGCACTGGCTCCCCTGTGACCCTGTATTGGATCAAGTGGTTAGAAAATGGATGGATGGATGATTTCGTTTTGATCGTCCATATGTTTGAGTCTACCTATAACAGAAAATCATACCTTGATCCATCTGTTAACAAATGGGAATTGCGCTGTGATTTTTCATACTAAGCGATAAATCCTCAGATATTTCTGGTAAGAGCTACATATAGACAACAGTAATTCAATATATAAGACACAATTTTCTTATGTGTCTCTCTTGTTCAGTTGTTTTGTAAATTATATTTCATCTTATATTTTGTGGTAGGCTGTAATTCTGAGTCTTGGGTCAAGTTTTTTCATTGCATTCACAAAGAGGAGCATACATTGTTTCTACTCTACTTCTTAAGCCATGTTTCACTAGTGGTATTACAGAAGACAACGTAACTGTTCTTCTGTTGTATATTTCTTCACCCTTTGCTCTGCATGTTGAACTCTTCCCTCAGGATTGTGTTTTGACAAAAAGAAAGCAGCAGAATGATAATACAGTGTTTTCATCCAGTGGCGGCTTGAGAGCTAATGGAGTTTTCCCCCATATTGCACCCATCTTTCTGTCTCATGCTTTCTAAATCCACTCTTTAAAAAGCCATAATTACTTCCATGTGACACTTTTGTCATCTGTGTGTTCTCTGCATTGCATGAGAAATCACCGCAATACGCCAGAGAACCTAACAATTTAAGGCCATGCTTTTGAGTTGATGTCCGAAAAAGGCCAGGCATTCCAGCCTTTCCCAATATCTTCGTTGATGTATTGTCAGGTGTCATTGGTTTGCTTATACAATTGTAGTCTGGCATGGTCTTAAAAAGAAAGCAAAAGCAGATAGCAGTGTAAGAAAATGTTTCTATAATCAAGCAGTTACTCACTCATACCTTGAGCTAAATATCACATGACTCAGGAGAACTTAAAATACACAACACTTCAAAGAGGAAGCTGTATTATGCTTAGTGCCATGACTTATCTTTCTGGTGAACCTTAAATATTGTATAAAACATAGTGCCATATGTTACCAGAAACATCTGTTTTCGGAGTCTCATCTGATTTCTTTCTAGTTTATAGTGATACAAATTTATTCACATTATAAATGTATTTAAAACACCCTAATTCCAGAATCAGGAAAGTTCAACAGCCACATAAAACCTGAACAAAGCTGCCATCAAATTGGGTCTACAGAAAAAGTTCTCTGGAATCTGTTTTGTGGACTTAAAATCTTGAAAGAAAGTAGTGTTTAATTATTGGAGAGGTTAAACCCACAAGTATCTAAATATTTAAATATAGTTCTTGTACCTTGCCATACAGATACTTTTATTTTTGTTTTGAAGAAATTCAAGAAATTAATTTTCTGTATTTTAAGAAACCAAAATATATTCTCAGTTTCCTGAAAGCGTGTTTCTTTTACTTTTACTTTTACAAAGTTAATCAGGCTTTGCAGTAAGAGTAGTATATCTAAACATTAACAAGAAGTGAAGTGTTATTTAAAAAGATTAATAAAGTTCTCCTTTTTTCAGTAAGAGGCAAGGCAGGAGATATCTTAATATCTCCTACTTAAGTTTTTTTTTTGAAAAAAATTGTAGGTTTGTGAAAATGTGCACATAAGCTAAAAGAAACTTTCCATTCTCTTCACACTACAGCACAGCATAAGTTCCATCTATATGTTATAAACGTTTTTCACATTTCCAAAAGGAAACATTAATGTGAGCACAGCCATATGGTAGCAGTTAACGTCAACTCCTTGAATTAAGACAAAATAAGACTGTTACTGAATTATAAATATTAAATCAATTGTGTTGTGCTAAGAACTCTTGCGCAATTAATGGTCAAAGCAGAACCAATATCGTCTAAATACCATAAAAAGAACTATCCTTTTCAGCTTACTATTTCAATAAAATAACAGTGTGAGAATGAAGGCTAATGTACTTCTATTTCTTTATAGTGTCTTTAATTTTAAAAAATTTGTTTGACTCTTTCTAATGCTTCCACCCAATGGGGTTTGCCATTGAGTTTGAAATGGAAAAAAAAATGAATGTAATGATTGTATTAGTCATAAGAGGCACTGAAGTGCGTGTGTTCATCAAGCAGGAGGGAGTGACACCACTCGCCCACTCACAAGTGTGGTGTGGAGGGTCAGAGTCCGGGGCTGCTGTGATAAAGGTTTTACGTTTTTAAAAGTAGAGAGGTGTTTTGACCTTATCTTCCTCCAGAAGTGTCATTTCAACTATGAATGCTTCGTCTCCCATTCTAATGCGGGTCTGACATCTCTGGAGTTTGATGTCATAAACATTTGTAGGTGGAGGTTGGCTAAATTCATAAATTTGTGGTACGTTAAGCCAGGACCTCCTGAAGCTTTTAAGATTGCGGTTAATGTGCTTTATTGCATATGTGTTATGTGTGAGGGCACTGCAGACACATATATAGAGTCTACACATGTTTAGCATGCATTAATCTGAGCAGTAAATTGTATATGAGGAATTATATAATCTCCCCAGAACTATTTACAAGCAATTATTAGTAGTGGTACAGTCTTTGTGTTTTACCAATCCAGTGTTTGCCCCTGAAAAATTTAAACATCTAAATCTAAATTCTGATAGGCTGAGTACTCGTTGAGCAAGTTGGGTTTCTGCGTCAATATCCTCCTCTGTCACCTCGTCCCATCTTGGTGGCTGACACAGAAACTTGTTCCTGTGCACTTTCATTTCCTGATTTAGGTCTGAGCTTGTGTGTTTAATACCCAGAGCAAATCTATTAGGCCTTTTCCAATCACAGAGGCTGAGCCCAGGACAAGACAGTTTTTTTATATTTAAACAGATTAACAAAATATAAGGTAGGAATTGACGATATTGATTATACTTTTTATTTTTAACACTGCACTTACTGTTTTATAATATAATGTCATACTAGAGGTTTATTTAACAACACATGCAACTAAGTGTTCAAATTGAAAAGGCACTATGCATAATTGGCTGTATACAGTACAGACACAGAGAGCCACATTTGTAAGATGAAATCTGTTTTTTTTGGGGGGGGGGGTTATCAGTGAAAAGGTTTAGGAGTAGAAATGTAGTCTTCCTCTCTCACAGAGTGGAATGATCAAAAGGAATTCATCGTGGTGGTTGAAGTCCCTCTGTTTCTGATGTTTTTATGAAGTTCCCTCTTCATAATTTACTATATTGTGAATGATGTCATTCCTGGGTCCCTCACCAGCTCTTCTATGTTTTCTTTCCTTCCTGTGTATAGTTCCGAGGGATCAGCTACTACATACAGAGGAATATGACCTGAACGTGGTGAGGCTCTGCTTCCAGGTCTTCCTACAAGATGAATGTGGCCATTACACCAGGGCATTACCGCCCATTGTCTCCAACCCCATCTATGACAACAGTGAGTGACAACATTCCTTAAGACCTTCATTTTCTACAGAAGTCATGGAACCGTCAGAACAGTTTCTTCCTTAACATGCACATTTATGATATTTCTTGTGTGTGTCCTTGGTTTCCATAGCTATATGTGGGGGTTGGGGGGGGGTAATCTAATTAATTAATACAATTTGTCTTCCTTTAAACCAGGCCATACAGTGGCTCATAAGGCTCTCCTACAGTGAATATGTACAAATCGAACACCCCATGCTAGTTTTACACGATTACAAAGTTGCTATGGCACATTGAAGTGCTCACTAAAGACAGTGAAGTATTTTGCGGAATGGTTGCATGAAATACTTTCTGAATTTTGAAGCTAGAAATGAAATTTGGTCAATGCAGAGACCATGAGATGCCTTACCTGTGAAGGACAATGTGGCATATGGAGATCTGATGAAACGAAGAACGCCTATAAGGCTGCCAGCTCACCGCTTTGAAGAAGCTGATGTTTTAAACGCAAAAATACACTCACAGTTCCTTTTGCTTTGTAAATAGTAATGCATTGCTTTTAGTTGACATTTGTTTTTTCAAGATCAAACCAACAGCTCTGACTCTGTTCCTCACAGGCGCAGGGCAGTCTCAGTGACGTCTACATGATGATAACGTAACGAATTACGTGAAGCGTCTCACTTTTAGAGTGATGCATGATACAGGAAATCCTTGCTTTTCGGATACCTGTTTATGCTAAATGCATGGTTCTGTGAAGAACATCCTGGAAGTGGGCAAGATAGCCCAGCAAATTACCGTTTCTGTAGAATCAGTTGAATTAGATTAGTTGTAGCTGCTGCGTGGGTTACCTGACCAGTTAAAAAGAAAAACATTACATTTCGTCTGAAACCTTTCTTTGAAGTTGATGTAAAACAGTCATATTCAGTCTGCTGTGGAATACGTAGGAAGAAAAGTAATGACCTCATTCTTATTGCACTGGCAATCTGGCGAGACTTTTGGATTCTCAGAGATTGATGTAGCTAGTTTGGATGGAAAATAAATTGTACTTCCAATGCAAGCCTGGTATTCTAAAACTGATGCATTTTTTTATTTGGGTGAAGCAAAAAAAAAAGCATTTTCAGGTATTTCTGTTTCTACTTGAAATAAACCTTGTTAGTTCCAAAAAATATTTTGACAGCTATGTCTCGCTCTGTAGTTGCAGGCTGTGCCATTAAAATGAAAAATAATTAAGCATTTGAACTGACTGCTTTAAACAAGGAAAAATTGACATCATACCCAAACACAAGGAACAAATGATTCATATTTTTATAATTCAGTAAAACCTTTCAATAATAGTGAGAATCATTATTTTCACAACTAAAAATTTTCAAACTGATGCACTGAATACCCATAATGTGGTATTTAGTGCATCAGTCCGGAACATGTCACCTCTTAAAAGTGTATAGTGATAACTCATCACTGCAACCACCTCTTGTGTTGATTTTTAACACCAGTACACTTTGGTTTTCTGTTGGCTCTGCAAATGTGTTACAAGGCAAAAATAATGCATTAGGTATTGAAAAGGGACTGTGGAGAAGCCTATGTACCTTGCTGTGTGGGGGTGTGGATATGTGGGTGGCTGAGCGGAGGAGGACACGCTGCGCCAATACTAAGACTCGAAGCGAGAGCAGCAGAGGTGTAAATAAACACTCTTTCGTCACAAATGAAGCTGCAGGATACACCTTTCTTTCTAACCCATGATAACAGTGATGAGGGCGATGGAAGAAAAGGTCAGCCTTCACATTAATATAGCTTGACTGTAGCATAAGGGGAACTGCCTTTGTGGCTGAATGATTTTACTTTTCTCTCTCACACACACAGCTGAAAAAGAGGAAGTTACAGAGCTTCCACATCAGTATGCTGAAAGATACCAATGCAGATAGCCACTTCCTTTTCTTGCAAATGTCTGCTTTTGATTTAAGGTCCCATATTTTGCCTTTTTTGTTTTCATAAAAAGGACAGGTGGTAGGTAATATTACAGATATTAAATATGATTGAATGATTGAATAATTAGACAATCAATATAATTAAATATAAAACTTAGCAGTAATCTTCAAGATAAGATTTAAGAACACTGATAAAGGAGGTTAAAATCTACCAAAGGCGAAATACCGTGAGGTCTGCACATCTGCTAAAAGGCAGAAATTGAAAGAAGTATTTCTTCAGTCCTAGGCAGAAATGGGTTGTCTACTTTTGTGAGAATGAGTGAAAGGTTTAAGTTCTTATTTTGGTGTTGTTAATAGTGCGGATTTCGCTTTTTTTCAGGGGCTCCCAATACAGCCGAACTGCGGATCTGCCGCGTTAACAAGAATAATGGCAGTGTGAAGGGAGGAGATGAGATATTCCTGCTTTGTGATAAAGTTCAAAAAGGTACAGGGCCAGTCATTTATTTTTCACATTTTCTCTTTCAAGTGGAAGTATAACAAAAGTCTCTGCACTGGCTTTCATCAGGAACTGCTTGTGCTGCGCATTTCAGTTACACGGTGGGTTTTATTTCAGATGTGGTCCTGGTGCACTTTCAGAATTGGTGCAGAATGCACAGCAACAATGGCACCATGATTTCAAACACACTGAAGAAAATGCAATGAGAAACAGTGAAAGTGTGTTGTAACACAGACATCTTGAAAATCACAATTGTGCAAGAGTTTTTATTTTTTGGAGCCAACAATTTGTTCTGGGCGTTGCAGCTTTTAGATGGCTGAGGTAGAGAATTTCCTGGACCTTTCAAATCTATATTTATAAACCAATGCCCCAGACAGACTTTTTAAGGCTTATGTTAAATACACCAGTTACTGTATTGTATGAAAGCTACGTTGTATTTTTCTAAGCAAGTTATAGGTCTCTACTTGAATTTCCCTTTTCTGTTTAATCCCACTTCCTCACTTACTTGTGATCCCAGCAGTATGAACTAAAAGTGTACCACTGTACAGTTTCTGATGTTTGTTTTGTTCTTTTTTTCTGCAGATGACATTGAAGTTCGCTTTTTCACACAAGGCTGGGAGGCAAAGGGGTCCTTTTCCCAGGCGGATGTCCACAGACAAGTTGCAATTGTCTTCAAAACGCCTCCTTTTTACAACACCAACATCACGGCTCCAGTGTCTGTGATGATGCAGCTTCGTAGACCCTCAGACCAGGAGGTCAGCGAGCCCATGGAATTCAGATACCTTCCCGATGACAAAGGTAATGCATACCTTGTGATCACAAAGCCAGCAGATAAGACTGGGTCAGAAACTTGTTATTAACGGAGATAAAACTCACCACTTTCAGTGAAATATGTTGCCATCTAAGTTTCAGTAAAACAGCTTGATAACAATGCTGATTTTGCCTGGAACACCTCATTCCTTTGAAGTAATTCCCAGTGTCAGATTAAAACTTTTCAAAGTTTTCACAGTTTCAGAGACATACTCCTTTCCCTGTCACACTTTGGGGAAAAGGGTGAGGAATACTGTTCTCAGGGAGAATATCAACCAGAAATCATCCTTTGTTGCTGGAGAGACAGAGTCTTTGATGTAGAAAAGAAAGGGTTCATAATGAAACAAAACAAGTTACCGACTTTCAGAGGTTTCTTGTTCCTGCAAATGAAGAATATATGCAAACCTTTTTTTCTTGTACAGTGAGTTTTCCCAAGATAGAGTAGTTTGCTGGCTAAAGTGTAGTAAATGGAATAAAAAATGTTATTTAACACAAAAAACATATGGTATTGTTATGCCAAAGGCCTAGATGAACATGTGTTGTTGCTGTACCTGCTACAGTTTCTGTTATTAGCTATTAGCAACCAAGCAACCTCCATGGGTACAATAGGCCACTTCTGATTTGTAACCTTTCTTGTGTTATACTTTGTTGTATATATTTGTTTTTCAATCAGACACAACCAAGTCAGCAAAGACTATTTTGGTATATACTGCTTTAATTTTACCCTCATGAGAGGGATACACTTTGCAGGGTTTATTTAACTCCACATTCTTACCAAGGTGACATTTGTATTTTGTGTTTAAGCAGTGGAAGCTAATGAAACAAATGTCATATTCACAAAGATGTGTCTATATTACTGTGATGTAAAAAAGCTGACATTCTTATCTGGGTTAAATCTACAGATCCCTATGGCTGTCAAGAGAAAAAGAGGAGGAGAGAGGATTTGATGAAGGCTTTCCCAAGTTTTCCTGGTAAGCACAAGATAGCTGGAATATCAAGCCTTCCAGAAAAGATACAGTACTTTACTTAGACTAAAATATGAAAAATTACTAGTCACAGTAGAACAACAGAGAACAAAATCCTGAGAGTTACATGCAATATTGTCAGTGTTGCTTACCTGTGCCTTAGCTGGAACAAAAACTAATCTAATCTTGCTTTGCTTATAGTTATGAGCCACATGGAGAGACCCAAACTCATTCCAAGAAATATGCCTCAAGTAATTAAGAAAGGTAGGTATATAGATTATATTACCATACCCATCTTTTCAAATGCACTTTTGCTCTATATGATAAAGAAAATTAAATTTTGAATATGCTGAAACATAAAATTATTCTAATCTTCTGCCTTCCTTCAATCAGTAATGTTTATTCAGTTATTCTGATTGTTGAAAACTATACTGAAATGTATAGATGGCAAATGGAAATTTTAACAGTAGCATCATATAGCCATATAATAAAAGACTAGCAGAACTTTTGTTAAAAAAAAAATTGGCTCTGCATCAGCTTTGATATTTATGGAAAGGTTTTTTTTAATGCATTGAGGTATCAGAATACCTTGGTGGCCCTTCAACTGAAATTGACTTCACATGTGGAGGCTTAAGTAACAGTTTTTGCTTTGTCTTTTTTTAGAACCCAACAATATTTTTATGAATATAAACTCAACCAATTTAATTCAAATGCCTCAAAACCAGCTACATAATACAGTATACCAACCTGCTGCCTCTGCATCGATAATGGCACCACACACGGTTACATCCATGAGCAACAACTGGCCACAGCCTACCCCTCCCATCTCCCTGGATACGATTAGGATCAACCCATCCAACAGCAGCGGCATGCTGTCTTCCGTTCAAAACAGCACGACGTTCTCCACCTCTGGAGACAACAGCAGCCTTCCCCTCCTGACTTCCCGGGACCTGGAGTGTTTGGAGCCTCAGACACAGAATAGCCAAGCGCACCTTTGCATGATCAGGAAGGACACCAACTCTGACAGCTCCTCAACCATGCCCATTCCACCCACTAGTCAGCCCCCCTGGGGCTTCAGCGTCCAGTCTTCAGAGATCCTAAACGGGAGCTCTACCTCGCATGCTCCTGTTGCTGATAACATGGAGACCGAGGACATACTTGTCAGCGTCAGCTCGTCATCGATGTTCTCACTGAAGCAAGAACCACAAGCTGGCCAAGGAAACACCTCTGCGCTGGGATTGCTGGCTTCCGATTCGCATTTGCCTTATAGCAACACAGGTACCAGGCCACTCAACAATGGAGGGAATTTTGAGGGTTCGAGGCAGCCCGGCAGTGACATGCACAACAGCAATCTGAGCTGCTTACCAAGTCACCAGCAGTTCGGATCAGACATTGCCACCACTGATGAGCGCTTTGATGCATTTCCAGAGTGGTCTTTTTTTCCACAGTGATGCAAAGCAGGATAAAGTAAATTCACTGATATCTACTGACAACAGTCTAAAATGAAATGAAATCAAAATAAATCTTAGCATATTTTTACTGATGGATCTTGGAATTGAATGTATCATATAACCTTTCCGTCAGACTGGCATGGTTAACAGTAAGAAGAGGAAGGTTTTATACCTGAGACGTGTCAGGGCATACACTTTTTTCTCAATCATAAAATTCTGGAACACTTTTTAACTTTTTTTAATTGTTATAGTGATTTAATGCTTCATAGAACACATTTTTAAAGCCATATTAACAGCTTCTTTGTACAGAGAAGTTGAGAAAGTTCTCTTAATTTAGTAATAGAGTGGGTACTTTTTTAACCTTGTAAACCTAATATTTTATGTTATTGTCAATGAGACAATTTTTTAAATGTGTATCTGTTCCTAAAAAGGAAGTTAAAGAGGATTTATTCCTTAGGTAATGGCTATGTCATATTTAAACCATAAATTATCCGAAGTTCTCAGAGCTGAAAGCATTGTAGACAAATTTATTAACAAAGCTTCAGTTTCACTCTTGATATGCACACTTTCCTTGAATGATCAAATTATTCAGTTTGTTTTTCAATGTGCTATTCAATACAGGGCTGTACACTTCAAAGTGCTAATGTTTCAATTTAACATTTTCTTGTCAAATTCTTTAATGCTTAGCAATAAAAAAAATATTCAAGCATCATTTCACACTGTAAGCAGTTAGTATGAAACTTTTTTTATAATTATTTGAGAATTCAACGCTGGGACTATTTTTTGTAGGAATTTTATTTCATTTTATTTATACAGTGTTATGTGCTTGCTTTTTAAGTTTAAGTATTAATTGTAGATCCAGTTACCTCTTTATTCAAAACATTGTATTGCATCAGAACTGTACTTCCTGAGTCACTGATGTCTTCCATTCTTTATAAATTATTTTAATATAGATTAATCATTACACATTAAACAATGGTTTATTAATACTTTGTAATTTTTCCATATCGTTTTACTGCTATTCAGAGTTACTGACTAGACTTTAGTGTCTCTTGTTTTCTATGACCTCAGTTATGAAGACATAATAAAAAAACACCCAGAAAATGACAGAGGGAAGTTCTCTATAATAATGAAAGAAAACAATCTGGGAAACATTTCAATATGTCTTCCATGCAACAATATTCAGCACTTTCAGTTCTACAAAAGTTATCAATGAAATAAAACATCCATGTATTAATATTCAAAAGCCAGGACTAATAGTCATTGAGTTCAACAACAATAATGGTGTACATGCAGAATAGTTTGAATATTCTTGATCTACAGGCTTTATTTTCCCACATTCAAAAATCTCCATTTAAAGCCTCTTGTCAGGAGCATAACGGCTATGCTTGCTTTAAAAACCGAGGCGATCTCCTATGCGTTTTTTAAATTTGTTTGCCTGCAGTTGTATTATACAGTTCCAGACTGAGATTCCCTGTTGCTGTTCCTACAAAAATCATGTGAATAAATATAATTCATTGTCATCTTTTCAGTACTTTTTTCCCTTGAAGAGCTCACTTTCAGACGTTCCATGTCTTACTTTGTCTTTAACTCAATCACATGATATAGACAAGTTATCTTTTGAAAATTCTGCCCGAGTTGCACCTTTCCTCACGCTGTCTGCCTACTTTCAGTTTGGAGAAAGATTTAGAGTTTCCTGTCCAGCACACAAAGAGAGAAACATGTCTCAAGACCTTACTGTATAAGCGATTCAAAGATTTTGGCTTCCTGTCAATACTCACAGATATGGAAAGGCCAAGCTAAAACAGTTTTCCACCAATTAGCAACAGAATGGAACTTATGTTTATGTAGTTCAAGCCTATAACTATATACATGCTCACCTACCTTTTAAAAAGTTGCTAAAAAACAAAACTGAAAAATACCCATAGTAAGATTTCAAAGGGATCTTTACTTAATCCAGCAAACATAATATTTTGTTACTTTTGTTCTTCCAGCTATTTAACCAATCATAAAGGACATTAGTATGTATTTTAAATGAAATTGGAAATACATATAGAGTACGATGTAACAAAAAGTCAAGAGCCCTTCAAAATGGGTAGAATATAACATCTGTAGTACAGGGTTTCGGGTCTAGCTTCTTGTTGAGGCAAAGTGTGAAGTGCTATTCATATGTGTCTTCATCTTCTATCGCTGGAGGCCAGTCTACATCCACAGACTGAAAAAAAAAAACACTTATTAATGTCAATCTAGATTTGTATGGTGTTAAGTTTTTACTACCAGCAAATTACACTGGCAAAACATTCCTCTTTTTTTCTGAACTTTTTTTATTGATGTATTATATGAACCTCATGTCATTATGTTCAACACAAAGATCAGTGTTTTTAAAGAAACAACCATTTATTATGTATATATATACCACATTTTCAATGAATATTTTCTTCTTCATAGACTGCAGCCTTTTTTTCCTTGCTGGTTGGAAATACGAGCCCACAGAATACACTAAATTATAATTGGTGCTTTACAATTGTACACATCTTAGTACACAACAAATAAGAAATAGAAAAAATCACAAAACTTAAACAGCTAAATGATAGTAAAATTACATTATGCATTATACAATTTTAGAGAGAAAGTAAGTCTTAAAGCAAGTGTTTAAAATATCAATAGTTGCATAATCTCTAATGGACATGGTGCTGAGCTGGAGATAACTCTCAAATGTGTGGCTTTCATATAAGCAGGTCTTCAAGTAAGAAGACCTACTTGTTCAAATGAACAATAACCTCAGTAACGTCTTAAAATGATCTGGAGATAGACCATTTACTGCTTTATTGATCAGCTGGAGAAACTTACCAAAGTCCACTCCAAATTTGACTGTCAGGAAGCTGAGCATACTGCAGGTTTTGTACTACTACCGCATTACTATCTTCAAGCAAGTATCAATATTTTAAATTCAGAAAGGCAGAGCAAGGGTCCTAAGCAAGTAAAACTGGACTGGTGGAAGAAAGACATCTTTGTGACCTTAACAGTATGCACATAAAATGGTAACACAGGAACATATGTAACAATGAACTTGGAGAAAACAACACACTCTGTTCAGAGGGTAATCTATTCTCACCTCAACATCTAGCTCAAGGATATCCGTCACAGTTTTCATCAGGTTGCAGAGGTTCGGTTTTGTTCGGCCAAAATCCCCATGGACAAACTCTTTGATGTAGCTTAATGCATGTTAAAGAGCAATTGACTTTTTTCTGTATATTATCAATACAAGCTTGATACAAGTACAAAATGAACAGTCCTTCACATTTTCCGAAATCTAAAATAAGATTGAAAAAAGTCTTCTTACCCAGTTAAACTACTGCTTTATCATTTGGACAATCAATAGAAAAATATTCACTGGAAAATTACATTCCACCAAATGGACCCCACAACTTCTTTGACAGTTTCCATTATCTATCTCTGCTTGCACACAAGCCATTGAATGTCGAAGGTTAATTCTATGGCCAAACGTGAGAAACTGCCAGCAGTGTGTAGCAGGATACGTCCCTGCCTGTGTCCTCAGGTGAAGCTGAAAGTGGTGCTCGTCCAGAAACTGGGCCTTCATGGTGTGAATGACACGCTGTCTCACAGCCAGGGGCCGCCGGTGTAGGACTCTGAGGGGAGTCTTCTGGTTTACTCTTAACTCCTGCAGGCAACATCACAAGGGCTCTAATACAACAACCTTCTCGGAGCATGCTCTTGTTGTTTTATTTTTTGCTATAGTACTTTTCAACAACATTATCGTTCTTTGTCAAATACCTTCAGCCTCTTCCAGTTTACTGTTTGTTATAGTCCAATATCTCTACTACCATTACTGTATTGTTAGTGTAATTTCAGCAATGACATTTGTCTGTAATGTGATTTAATAACCCCCTTTAAAAGACAGTCAAATGAACTCTGAACTTAGACTCTGGGGGTTTAGAAAATCTGCAGCCTGAAGTTATTCCCATAGTCGCACAAAGGAAAGTGTTCGTCAACAGAGGGTCATGAAAGGCTGAGAGCAGTAGTACACAGTTTCTGGACAGGGCCGAATCAAAAGCTAAAGAGAAACTCTACTGCAGACTCTAACAACTTTCCATAGTTGTAGTCAAGTGTTACACATTTCCGATTTCATAATGATTTTCATTTAATGCCTAAATGTTCTTGCAGTGCTTTCGAGTCGTATTATTTATTTCGAATTGAAAAGTTATCAACCCTGTCAAACAATGTTTACAGAAAAGATAATAAACACAATATACACATGGATTGAACAGTGATCTTCCTTTAAGGACTAGCAACAGTGATTGTAGAATCCACACTGCATAGTTGCATATAAAAAGGCTACCTTACCTTAATGTCATTAATGAATTCTATATCATGTTCCTGAATAGGTCTCTCAGTCCATATTAAAGCACGGTATGATTTAGTTTTCTCCTCCTCTCCTTCTTTCATATGACCCACTGCATCTCTGAAACAGAAAGAGACATCCGAGCCTTGCCTTCAGCACTAGTTTTGATAGCTTGATAACTTCACTGGTAACTGCCTCCATTTGACTGAACTCACAGATATGTACTACAATCACAAACAATCAAAAGAATCAAGCAGAAAGATATTACACTTGAAGGAAAAGGGGAAAACACCTACCTTGTTACAATCTGTAAGTCCCGTACTTTTATTTTTTCAGAAGAAGAATTATTGATTGTCTGTGAAAAATAAAAGGCAGCACTCAATCAAATGCACATTATTTTTTTCTTGGAGAGATGTCTGAACATAGCACAGTACCTCCTGAAGCTTCTTGATCTCATCTTTCGTGAACACTGCTCTGTGAGGATTAAGTAATTCAACTGCAAAGGGCCTTCCTGAAGATGAAAGAATACACAGCAAATTTAAAAATAGCATCATGCACGGGCCCCTGCCTCTGATATAAATAACAGGCCTCGGTTTCCTGAGAAGAAGGCCTCATAGTGGTATAGACAGCAAGAGAAATATCTCTTTCATCATGATGGAACAACACAATTACAAAACTACCCAAGGTCTAAACTTCTAGATTATTACTATTATTACCATTTACAGTTGAGCTACTCAACTTGCAACACCGTAAATTCACACCATTGCAGTTTTCTTTAACCATGTCTTTAATTATTTAAATGATAATATATAACAACTAGAAAGCGGTCTATATTAAATTACTGCAATGGATCAGATTGGATGGGCTTCAGGTTGAGCAGGTCTGGCAAATATTATAAGATTAAAGTGTAAGTAAAGTAACTGAGTGCTTTCCCTGGCAATGCTTCATGGGTTTGATCAGCACAGAAAAGAGGACAAACTGCAGAAACCACAGTAAAGATACTTAACTATATCAGTTCTGCAATTTAATCAGCAGAACTTGAGAGTAAACTTATAGTAGAGCAAAGAGAAAATAATGTATGAAATTGAAGGGCATAATCTTCCAAAGTCTTTTATTTTCTTTAAATCACCTCCTGAAGTGATAGCACCATTTGTAAATGATCCCAGTTTATCACTGTGATCTTTGCAGAGGCATTGGAAAACTGAGCATAGTTTGCATTTCAGTGATGTGTGAGTGTCCACAGCAGAATAAGCATAAATTAGCAGGAGTCATGCAGCTCTCAATGAGATCACTGAACCTTCACATGTGCTTGGCAAGCCACACAGGTCGGTACCGGAGACACATTACTAGCGAATAATGCATTGTGAGCATGTTAAATGTCATAATAATGCTATACTCTCAAATCCTGTGTGGGTTAACAGTGTCTTACACAACTTACACCTTCCAGATTTTTAAGTTATAAATCTCAAACTCTTCTGACCATGGTGTGCTTTACCTTCTCATCTAGTGGCTAACTGCTCTCAAATCATTTTTCAAGGGTAATCTCAACCCATCCCCAGACTTTTAATCTTATGAACAAAAAATGGGACAGAGAACTAGACAGTTTGTGTGGTAGGCCTGAGATGTTTGTGGCTTGACGAAAGCTTTTCTGTTCTTCTAAAGAATGCCAGCCGACCCATTTTAAACTTGCTTATGGAATCTTTTAAAACTCAGACAGTTCCATGAGGGCACTGCTTCAGATATTCTCTGTCACAGATGCGCTCAGTGAATAACCCACATTCACACAGGTTTTGGGAATGCCCTGTGGCACACCACTGGTATCACTTTTCCCAGATTCCCACATCACGGTCAGCATTCACATAACATCTTTTGCTGGCATAAGGCAGCCAAAACATCTCCTTTACAACTTTGGGCGCAGAGCCCCCTTAAATCTCTTATTATTGCATTCATTGGTAGATATTATTCTTCGGGAGAGCAGTACGGCCAAGTGAAACTGATCTGCTCCAAGACCTTTGTCAGCCAAGACAGAGGGACGATTTCGTTTATTTTTAAATTAAATAGTTCCTACCCTTATGTTTTCTCTTTCTTCATTTTAGATTTTCTCAACTTTTTTTCCGTCTTTTAGTTTTGTTTTATAACTGTTTATACATTAAATTAGACTATAGCAATGAGAATCGCATACAAATACTGTTGACAAAAAACTGCACTGCATTTCACATCAGGGTGATGGTTGTGTCACTAATTCTTCAACAAGTATCAAAAGGCAGTTCTAAATGGTTATCTAATGAGAAACGAATTACCCTTCCCCAAGGTGCGAACATCAACATCCTCCCTTCCTGAAGATGAAAAATTAAACCCTGGCAGAGAAAAAATAATATTTTAAACTGACACAGTTATAATCTTCATAAATATCAGCAAGAGGAAAAAATACAACATTTAAATATATATTTCATACCGTTTAAGATGGCATTCTAAACATATGTATCTAACATGCCCATTTCACGTTTGTTAACACTTGGCAAAACTTTTTTTTATTACTTTAGAGATTCAAAAAAGGACAAATTACAAACGTCAGACGACCAAGTAAAAAAGAAAATATCATTAAATCATCCCTAACTTCAGTTTAGATATTGAGTGTTATGCACGTGTTAAATTTTTAAATTTGCATATATCGAGTCAAATACAGAGCCACTGTCCTGTACAGCACAGCTCTCTGGCAGATTAAAATGAGCATCCGTGTCATTTATAAAACAGAACTGTTTTAGCTATCGGCACAAATGTTACATAGCATGCTCATTAACATCTTTACATGGGCCTGCCAGAGCACGGAATTGGATTTCATTAAATATATCACTATATTTAAAGAGCAAGTTGGGTCAGAGGTATTTTGGGTAATAAAGACATTCTCCCACCACTAACTTTTCCCCATTCTCTAATATTCACAGAAGACAAAAAGTGATGAGGGTCAGTGGTGAAGACTACACAATCCATGACTCAATTTATTCGGAAACTGCGACTCGGAAGGTTAAAAAACAGCACAGGCAAGCACAGGTCATCTTAAAGGAACACGGAACCGACGGAATATTATTTCTTATTTTTTTAAACAACCCATTTTTTAAACGTTTGCACTAAATGCACTTAGTTGAGAAAAGGCAGACTCTGGAATGCAGCCGAAGCGGGAAGCAGACACGGCTAAAAACGGGAGGTTGTAAAACGCTTGGCGGCTGCGGTATTCACGACACGTGCTCACCGTCAGCCCTGAAGGTGGCCAGGAGATGGTCTGAGATGAGTTCCTCCACAGAGGACTCCATTTTCCTTTCTCCATCGATCACCCAGGGAGTCTGCGGGAGTGTCCGGGAATACTTGTTGTATCTGCCTGTTGAGCACCATGAAAACACATCAGGCTAAGTACGGATACCGATTCCCAGTGTTAAAACAAAGGATGAAATAAGGTCATTAAACCCTTCTGTCCTAGCCTAACAAAAAGCAAATAAATGTAACTTTTTAAACATAGCCTTACAATAAATCCTTCCTGCTTAGATTTGTTCAGCAACATAGCTCAATCTTGTATTCTGACACTCGAGCCTAAATAAGAGATCTTATATATGGCCTGAAAGCAAAGGAAAAATAAAACTGTCAGAAACTTTCACCCATCTCTGGACGTTTTTAGTAAAAAGCATTAAAAGATTTAATGAAGATTCAGTGAAGCACATTTCAGCTTATAGTCAGAGACTCTGCTGCCTACTTCCCTAAATAAAGCCTCTCTGTACATTTAAAGCTAAAGCCAGAAAGAACGATGTTATTTTAATTAATATAAGTATATATATAAAATGCATATAAGTTAGGGTAATGCAAAGCATCTAAAGAGAAATGCCACAGGAGTAAGCCACATCATTTTCATTACATCCAAGTATAACAGAGCTGTAATACAAGGTACTGTATATGTCGACTGCAGACAAGCAATCTGGGTTTCACTTTGAGAAAATGGAAAAAAAAGGAAGACAAAGCTGTTCCCTTTTTGTAAAGTGAAATTGTAGAATTCTTTCATAACATTTTGGAAACAAATACCTATTCCTAGTCCTAAAATACTATCCACAGATTGATAAAGCTCACCATCTTCTGGTGTTCTTCTGTTAAAAGGAGCAGCTTAAAAATCAGATAAAATTCATTTTATGTTTATAGTTTCTTCTAAACAAGGAAAACAGGCAGTCATTTATTTTTATGGACTTCTTCAGCATCCCATTTAGGCAAAAAAATACTTTATCAGGTCTCTCCACAGAAACTGCATTAGTGTACTAGAGTACAGTAAATTGGAACCACAACCTTTACACCTGTGAATCCTGAGTAAGAATTAAAGACAGTAATCTGAGAAGAGTGGAATGGCTGAGTAAGTGAACTGCATTCAATGCCAACTAGGTGTCTTCTAATCTGAGATGAGCTTGTAACAGAATTATGACATTAAGTGAAGATACAAGGGTAGCTGAAGTTATTAGCGTGTAAGTGCACATACAGTAGAGCCTGAAAGGGGTACTGAGAAGTCGATAACAAAACAAATACATTGGCAGTTTGGAAAAAAATGACACATTTCAAATTAAGCACAAAATTGTGAACTTTGTGAAAGTGCTGTAAGTCCCCATGTTGCCGCAAACCCCTGGTCTCGCCATGGGCAAGAGCAAGTGTTTCCACGAACTGCAATGTGAAACAGCCCTTCCTGCTCACTAGTCACTGTAATAACTCATGTAATGTGATGTACGAGCAAAGAAGTCCAGGTTGTGCAGCAGATGTTACACCCCAGAAATGTTTTAACGTGATCTACATGCAGAGTTAACAAGTAAGTCGTAATTTGTTGGCAAAACCGCCTCTAAATCGAGAGCTATATTTCTTTTAGATTAAAAGAGATGTATTCAGAAGCCTGCTTGTTTACAATATAATAGGGCCGCTTCACCTCACCGGAGGTTTTGTTGCCTCGTTCTGTATGTTACAGAAAAAGGTGCTGCGTATACTTGGAAATTTAATCTATTTGGTGATGTAAACTGGAGGTTTTACAAGTTACAGGTACATTTGACTTTTATTGTGGTTCGAAATGCACTCATCAATTCTGATTCTTTTTAACCCCGAAACATAAAAATACTGTTGCAAATTTAAAGCAAATTTAAAACAATGTACCAGCAATAAAGACAGGGGAATGAAGACACTGGATATCCTGGGCAACACATTTTGTAACCGGGGGGCATGGAGGACAGGGAAACTGTCTGGACACAAAGACAACAGAACATTCAATTTGAAAACAAAATTTTCAATTCTGTTAAAATAAGAGCACATGTAAACATCCATCTTATTTCTTATCCCATCAGATAATCTCTGTTCATTTCACAAAAGCTCACACAACAGCAATAATCAGATTTTAGAAAAAACGCCCAGCTAAATTGCATACTTTCATTTATTTAATATATAGACGGTCAGTTAAGTATGTCCATGACTATTTTAATCCTACATAACTCCTCTAATCGTCCATGTAAGTATATATACCTTAGATTTAAATAGCTAAAATAGGTCTGCAAGAATGTTAGAAAATGCATTATACAAACCGTGAATAATTTACAAATTATAGATACACTGTAAAAATAAGGTATTTTTTAAAAAGCTTGTTCACATACAGCTGCTTTCATATTCGGACAGAGTTAAATCTGAATCTCTTAGCCCAGGTGGAATATACGGTTCTCTAAATTTTAAAATATTTCAGAAATATTTCCCCCCACTTCTGCGACAGGGTTTGTGATCTACAAACCTTTTTTTTAATACAGTGCTTTTGATTTTAGGCCACTCCCTGAGACTATTCCTCTGCAGCTTATTTCTGAACAGAGGGGGGCAATACTGAGAAACAACACGGTAAGATTTAAAACCAATTTACTTGCGGAAATCCGCGTCTTTTATCTTCTCCAAAGCCTTTATCACCGCCATTCTTGTGAAAACAGACTGCAAAGACAAACAAACAGGCAAAAACAAGCATGTTCTTAGAAGCACACAAATCATGAGAAGAAGGATGTGGCCTACATTATATTACATCATTTCATCTAAATGCATTCCTCTGCAGCAGGTTTTTTTTAAACTGAAAGTTAAAGGAAATCGAATTGTAGCTTGTTTACTTTAAGTGGGTTTGTCATCAAGGTTACAGGCTAGGTTTCAGTTTTCTCCAGTATGAGCTGCCTCCACATAATACAATGCTTACTGAAGAATGAACTAAATCCAGAAACTATTTGTTTACAAAAATATAAATTACAAATGTCGCTGATCTTATGGAACCAGTAAAATTCTGATAGCTATGCAAAAGAAAAGCAGAAACAGGTGACAACATATTATTACTAATATACTTATTATTATTCCTCATAAGCCACCACCATTACTTATGCTGACTGACATGAAAGAAAATATTTTTAAATGTTAAGTGCAAAGTGTAATTTAAATTATTGGATTTAGTTTTAGAAGTAGAATTTCCAGACAGATACCTTTATACAATATGTGCCACAGACCTGGTATATTTTTTTCAGGTCCTAAGAAGAAATATTTTCTTGTAAACATGTAACTTCCTGTCTGTAACCATTAGACCACACGGCAGCTAACAGCTACATCACAGCTAACATGATGAAAAAATAACAGGCACATATATGGTTTTATCTGGTATGTACCTTTTGAGAATTCCTTTGTAAAAAGGTAACTGAAAAACAACAATGAACAGGAAGGCACGCACCAACTGCTGTATTAAAAAGACATGTCTTAAAAGCTTTTTTACACAGTACTGGAATAATGCAAATGTCCACACAATTGCTACACTAATTTAATATTTGGTTGTTATTTTTCTTACTCCCTTTTCTGACTATCATGAGAAAGTGTGTCTGCTTATTAGAACCTTGTCAGGGGATGATCATCCCAGCTACTGAGTTTCAGATTTCGTGTGATGCTGAATGAACAGAACTATCATGACAAGAGACATGTCAAGGCAACAGAGGAGGGTGGCTGTCCTGCAACACTTTCCAGACCGGCATTTAGCTATAATTTTACACATTGACATAAAAATGCAGCACATACATAACACTGTGACATAAGAAGAATAAAGGGATAAATAAAACTAAACTAGAGAAGCTTTTTTCTGAATAATGGTACAGTGATAGCCCTCTCATAGAAAGGAGTGTAATTTATAGCTGGAAGTTGATTGTGCGATACATTAAATAAACTCCTTCATATGTAATCTGTCTTCAAGCATGTCACTGTTACTACATTCATGTAATAATGTTTTTTGTTGGGGTTTTATTCTGGTAAGGTCTTTCCAACAAATCACTACAGCGATTTTCTTTCATATGAATATATCTGTATGGAAAACATGCAAAACAAAACATTGAAATGAATATTGTGAAATGATGCATTTTTCCTTTTAACATTCTAAATAAAATTTAAAACTAGAAGCAAATTTTTTTTTTTATGGAAAAATATATTTAAAGTCCAGTGGAGCATTTGTATTTATTACTAAAAGAACAACCCTCTGTGAACTCAAACTAAAGATAAAATGGCTTTTGAATGCAGTGTTTCAAATGACAGAAAAACACAGGAAACGTTTGTACTTTTGGTTGCAAAAGCACTGCATTTTATACTCTTATGTGCCCAACCCCTCTTCCAAAAATACAAATCAATCTCTCAAAAAACGTTTTTTGTCCAGCACAGTGTATCCCTTACTTGTTTGTTCTTGGCTGGTTTGAAGCAGTCGGAGCACGCAGCAGCACTAGGAAAACAAGAGGTGAATTAAAATTATGGTTTAAAATGAATAATATGTAAGTATTACAGTTACATAATCTTAAAAATCGTTTTAAAGCAATGCTGATATATTTCACCCTATTTAAATCTTTAAAATATGAAAAAGAGATCATTCAATCAAGATATTATTCAGATAACAATAACTGCTGAGTTTTGTCACAAATGAGTCTGCACTGGAGAAAGGTGACCCTACCAACAAACTCCTCTTAAACAAATTAATAGTTATATTGAAAGATACTGTATAAAAAGTCTTCACTGTCATTAAGTGGCACTATATCATCTTATTTTCTTATTTCTCATTTGAAATTTCCAGTGTTGAGAATAATTTCACAAGTACAGAAATGATTTAAATCAAACAATTAAAGTCCTGAAGGCTTGGCAACACAATTTGTACCCTGTTTTTTTGCCCTGAATACATACAGGAAATGGCAGTCCCCATCAGTCTCAGGGTGTATAAAGGCTATGCTCACTTCAAAGGAGCTCTGAGGAAGAAAACATCACAGCTACAATTAGATCAACAAGACACAATACAACAGGGGTATACATATGTTCCCATTTGTGGAATATATATACAGTACCCATTAGTATTACTGTATATATATATATTCCATACATACATATCATATATCTATATTATTTTAACTTATTTAGTGCCTTTCATCTCAAAGGATCTCTTTCCATGTAGGAGTGAACCTACTTCATCAACCAATACACAAGTGCCAATATAAAACAGATCAGATTAAATTTATTAATATGCAATAAATAGAAGAGAGGATCAATTAAATGAAGGGGAAATACGTGAGAAGCCAGATAAAGCAAACCTAACGTTGTAATTTAGCCAGGACATCAGTGTAAACGCTCCGACTCTCGAGCAGTGCCCTGGGATCTAACCAAACAGTCAGGACTTCAATTTCATGTAGAACCCGAATGGCAGCACTTCCCATGGCACAGTTCAATGGAGTTACATCATCGAACACTGAATCTTGGAGCTCACGTGTACTGCACATTTAGGTCACATCAGCAGAATATTCCCTCCTATTTCTGCTCACGCTCCGCCCAAAGCAACACAAAATTCTTGTACTTAAGCCAGTAGTGTCATTGCAGCAGACACGCCCTACAGTTTCAAGGAAACCACTCCTCCTGTGAGCACCATAATGAAGGGAAATGATGCACATGCCTTGCCGTTGACAGGTACTCCAAGCTCTTGAGAGATTAAAGGGTGGATTAGCCACTTGTAGGCCTCCTTGATCTGGATTACGTCATCCTTTCCCAGACAAAGTCCCTTCAGCCTGTTCAGGAAAGACATCAAGGTCTCAAATGGCTGTGCTCGCCAACCAACCACCAAGAAGCAATTACATACTGAGAGGAAGCTGAAATGGTATTATTAAATTTCATTTTGTCAGGCCCCACGAATACATTTTTCCCCAAAAGACAGAATATGGCTTTTCTTTAAACAAAGAAATTAAAAAAGCGTATAATGCGCAATTAATTTTTTTTTACAAATAAATCATTGAAAATGGAGTACCACACCATGTAACGTAGACTTTTCTAGTAAAGCAAAAAGGAAGATACAAAGATATCATTGCATACAGTTGGTAAAGGGAGAGTGCCAATTAACTGTGAATCTGGTTAAGAGACCTTAAATGAGGATGATCCATAACTTCTTGGAATTGGAATACAGCCTAAACAATTGGTTCAAAGTAAAATCCCAAAACTTAGAAGCTAAAAAGTACAGCAACATTTTAAGTAACAGTAGGTTAATCTTTGATCAAGCATGTGGTGTGTGGCACAGTGCCAGGTTTCTGTTCCTAATAGAAAGCAGTGAGTTCTAAAAAAAATAGAAAACACAGGCAGTAATGATAAATGCTGAAGAAGAAAAAGCAGTAACGCAATTACCTACCCCACTTCCTTCTTTACTAGCAGCCATACAGAATGCTGGTAAGAGCAAGGCACACCCCAGAGATGAAAAACAAAGACGCAAGAACAGTTTTAGAAGCACATTGTGAGGTGAGCCAGGTGTTTTTTTCCCTGTCTGTAGTATTGCAACAATACAGAAGCCAGTGCATCATTGACGACACTACCTCGTGTAATTAGAGGAGCACAGTATAACAAAATTGTCCAAGGTGTGCTCCTAAATTTGAGAAAACAAAACATAAAATCAAAGACTGTCAGGATTAATAGCTTGTAAGCCCATATTTTTCTTGTAAAGTGCTAGATCATTGCCCAATTATTAGCAAGGTTCATATGAACTTAAGAGATTTGTCACAACATTACATTTCTGGATCTGAATTTAAGAAAGCAGCTCAACTAGATTTTTCTGCTATTTAAGTCTGATATTTAATTCCGACATCCCATTTAAAGTTGTGCACATAAGTATATTTTTTGCGGGAGGTGGCTTTCCCAGATTTGTTTTTTCAGCGATAATGAATTTGTTTTTAACAGATGACTGCTAGCACTTCTAACAAGCAAGCTTTGCTCCAAAACATGAGCAAAAAATCTAGGTCTTAGATTCTAGGTCCTAAGACTCAAGCCCACTGCACTCTTTCTCCTTCCTTGCAAACACTCGGTTCAGCAACCGTTCCAGTAACTTCAAATTTCACAAGTGAACTCTTCAGATAAAAGAACACGCAAGAAAGGACCATTGGTGCCTCTTAGATCTAGATCTAGATCATAAACACTACATCCACAAGGAAGTAAAACTGCAAAACTATGTGTGATGCTCAGCATGAAATCAGTGGGCGGCGGCGGCCTGTGTAGGCAGCCCATATGAAATGAAAGGTCACCAATATAAGAAAAGACCTGAGGGATAGTCTGGACCTACATCTGGATCACCCACACATCAAGATCATGTACCAGCTTTCAACTTCATCATGACACAAATAAAAGATGTGCAGGCGTTGGTAAACTGTATTACCCAAACCTATAGCTCTGCAATCCTCGTTTCACTTCTCCATTTTGTAAAACAACAGGAAGCATGAACATATGTTCAAATATTAGTTCAATAACTCATTCTAAAAAGGGGAGTTTAGTGCATTAGAGTGAAAATCTACTAGTGACCAAGATAACCCATGCAGTCATTTAGTGCTCTCTAAAAGAACTGATTGCCTTTTCATAAGATCACAATACAGCCACATAGGAATGTGGTTTCAATGGTCATCCAAAGGGCTATATTCATAATATACACATTACTGGAAAGTGAAATGAATGTGAGCACTGTCATGGTTTCTCTTTAAATAGATTCCACAGCTAACCTCACACCTTCTTAAAGAGTTGTGCATTAAGAAAACAAGATTGTAATTTCCCAGTTGCATCCAGAGCTTCCTCCATTCTGGAATATATGTCTCAACAGCCAAGATGTTCCCATGACTAAACCACCTCTGCCTGTAACATGATTCAGGAGAAGGAGTGGTTGATTTTTATGCAATCAGCCCAAGAGGCACGTTGGCAAGTTTTTCAGCGTGCTTGCTTGGTAACTTCAAGTAATCCATGTATAGTCCAAGAAAAACCTAAAATGGCTTTTTGGCATATAAAGCTTTGTATGTTCCTCTTGTACTTCTGGATGTTTAAGTAATGTTAACCTCCTCTGTGATCATAGCCATTTATTTTGTCATATTTCCTTTTGTTCATTTTTATCTTTTAGTTACTTCATTATTTTGCTCACTTTTTTCCACTTAAGAGAAAGATCCTTTATTGTGTTTTTAATAAAATAAGACAACACTTTTCTAATAATAAACCACTTAAATTCTTAAAATAACATAATGGTAGTTCTCATGTTTTATAATGAACAAAGATATTTTGAAATGATTTTGTTTATTTTAACATGAATGAAGATAGACCTTTTCACCACACACTTCAAATGGAATAGAAAACAAAACAAGTGTTATCACATTTTCCACTGTTTCCAAGTTCCACCACACAACAGAAAAAAAAGCACACTAAGACTTCAAGAACCTGACTGCTCTCTACTGGAGAACCTTGAAACTGAACAAGAAAAGGTAATCTGGATAATATACTGTACTGATACACATTTAATATGGAAATAAAAACAAAACTGAATCTGTAACATCATACATTCATGTAATGTCCACAAAAACCCGTCTTTGCCCTACACTTTTCCACAATCAATCAAGTTAATATCCCAACAGAGCTGCGATAGCCTCATTCTCTTTTTGTTTGCAAAGAGTTCTTTTTGAGAATGAACATATTAGACTACATATTCTACCAGTTGACTTGTGATCAACTGGTAGAGATCCCACCTACAGAAAAACAGCATACCAGAAAAGAGATACGTTTCCTTCACAAACCACTATATGTGCCTATTACACATGAGATCAAAGAATCAGGGTATAACAACTCTACCACGTACCACGGCCTGGCCATTCAGTAGATATAAACCTCATACACCTCATGCACATACAGGCAAACATCACTTCTACCCTAGGAATGCATCCCCATAAAACCACCAACATAAAACCCCCTAATACAACTTTTATGCCAAAATGGCAGGACTGGCCATCTACATACAGCACATATAACACAGACTGTAAAACCTCCAAGTATGATTTTTATCTGTCATTAGATTCTTGAACGTAGTTATAGCTTGGACATTGCACAGGCCTTGAGATGCATGAAAATGATCACTCTCTCAGATTGGAGAATGACTAGACAAAGCAGCACAGACAGACAGGACTCACCTCTCTCACGGACAGCTGGGGTGGAAGAGACACTGACACAACTAGACTGTTGAACTGGTAGCCAGCGGAATCCACTGCCCGGGACATCTATCAGTAGCAATAATGTGAGGGAGGGGTCAACAAAAAAGCATCAAAATACAGGAGCCTACCGAACACCTTTCTTCACTACCAGTTTCGGCTTTTTCACTTTACATTTCACTGTATTCACGATGATTTTAAATTGTCAGCACGTATTTTAGCTTACAAATACAGAACAGTGATTTTTTAAATGTTGTTCTACATCATTTCATTTTTCTCTTTAAAGTCTATTAACCTTGTGATGTTCTTTTATCACGGGAAAGTGAAGCAGTGCGTCCATCTCAAGTGCATAACAGGAAACTGCAGAGCAGTGTAAGCAATATGATTACAACTTTTTGTTTTGTTTCTTATTATCATGGACTTGCTTTATTAAAGAAATATAAGCTTCGCACAACAGGCTTTGTCACAACTTTTCCAAACACTTCTGTTCTTTGTCATTTTACAAAGATTCAGTAAGAAGAATGTAGGATGTCTGAGCTTACTTTTTGGGCAAAGTCTTTGTCACAGAAGTCCTGAAGCACTCCCAAACACACCACACAAACGTTTTGCTCATTTTTCTGGGTGTCAAAGCTGTCCCCAGGCAGGGGTATAGCAGTTCCCTTTTCACCAGCTACACTGATCTCTGCTCCCTCCAGCTTAATTCTTTTACAAGGGGGGTCCTCCTCTTCTTCTGCTGCAGCAGTAGGGTTACTACTTTCATCTGGTTTGGCAAAACGGTGCAGTTCATCCTCCAGAATCTGCAGGGAATAAATAAGAAGTCTTTATGCCACTAGACACAGCTGCACCTTGAAGAAAAAGCACTTGGATCTAGATCAGGCATTTCCATTTTGACAACAAGGATTATTTTAGACTAAAATAATCAAAAAAATGCAAATTAAATTTAAATTAAAATGCCAAAAAAATGTTCTTGCAAAGTTTAGATATGGTAGATTGAACTGAATAAAACTGAGAAGATCAAGAGTGTAACTATAAAAAAGAGCAACAGCAATACCTGATATGGCTGTCTGTAGGCAGACTGCAGACCCACACAACAGAATCGAAGCACACAACGTGGGCAACAGCCTGCTTTCAGCAGAGTCTGTACAATTGTCCTGTCCTTCTCCTTAAGGGGCAACATAGCTCTGACTGTAAACACAAGGAAGAATGGAAAATGCAGTCGATTTCAGAGTAAAACAGACCAGGTAATGCTTTTCTTACCATCACAGCATCACATAGTCCAAACATATCAGGAGATCTACTGATCTTGAATTGAAAAGTTACGGTTTCATCATCCTATCACATATTTCCTATCTTAATTACAACTGGGTTATACCTGGAGGTACCTTAGCTAACAATATCTAGACTAGTCCGTTTTATTTGGACGTTCTGCGTGTGATTAAAATCTCTCCACCTTTGTCGTGTCATTCTGACATGTACTGTAAACACGTTCTTCCACCTATTACCAGTTGACTTTACCTGACTTAAAAATTATTAAATATTTTGTCAGTCCTGCTTATTCTCGGTTCAGTACCTGTCCACGGCTTTGTCTATGACTGGGTTTACAGAGGACAGCCAGTACATCAGCACATACTCTGTAAGCAACCGTAAACAGAATTCTTAGCGGACGAAACAGGACATTATTCACCTAAGCATATCCACATCACGCATCTTTACCAACAATTATATTTTTCTTAATGTATACAAATAATACATCAATCTGGCTTACAAAATAATGATATAGCAAGGTTTATCACTTTTTATCACTTTTAATTTGATTTATACATTGACCATTGCAATGACTGCAATGTCTCAGTAAGTTTAACTCGGCTTAGTTTTTTTTTTTTGGTCCTGTTCGTACAATAAAGTTAATGGTCGCCAAGTTGATGTTGGACAGCAAACAGGATGTCCTAATGTAGCGTGATTACCCAACGTGCTGCTGCTATTGCACTCCTACTATTTCAAAGAAACATTAATTTCTGTAGATAAAAGAAAGCACACATGAATATTACAACAAAACAGAACAGCCTCAATAATTAAAACTTCCTATATGCATTCAATTGAGGTTGCATGAAAACAAAGCACATTCCGTACGTACGTGCTTTCTACACATCCCCGAGCTCTTCCACGTCCCCTGCGTCAGTAGGCACGATTAATTGTTCTCCGAACAGTAGATCTACAGCATGAGCACTCGCTTTAGATGCCAACCTGGTGTAGATTTAAGGCAAAAAAATTACAAAAGTAAATATATTAGATTATTAATTCTAAGGCACAAACACGTCCTTGTGAATTAGCACAAAACCTCGAAGTTCTAGGAATCAAGCCCAAATGGTTCATATCTAATTCAACAAAAACATCGATGTATTTGACAAGAAATATATATATTTTTTAGTTAGTGATTACAAATCGTTGTGTTTTCCTCTGAAATACATTTCGAGTGTATGTCGCACTCGTATTACAGTTTCACATTCAGGCTCATACTTTTCATCCTAATTCAATACCTTCGTTCTTTGCTGTGATCCATTATTAAGGTCTAGGACAGGACCAGTGTGACGGGCTGGATTCTGAACTGTGAACTGGGTAGGAACTGTAGAAAACAGGGTAACCGTTTTGGGGGGATTTTAAAGGATGGCATCGCAGCCTCCCCCGAAACCCTGGGAAAGACGGATTCCAGGTGCCATTTCTACTCCAGCTGCCTTTCAGTGAGTAAAAACGTTGTCTTTTTGGCAATGCTGTGTTTAATTGTTGCTTAGGCCTGCAGTGGCTCTTCAGATGCCTGCACTTTTTACAGGCTTATTATTAATGTACATGTAGATAACAAAGATAAGCAAACTGGCGCATATCACTTATATCATCAATCTGAATACAAATTTAAACAACTATGTACAATGAAAAATCCCTGAAAAATGGCAAAAGCATTCATAGTTTTACTGTTCAGTCAAAACAGCTGCGATTGTGTAATTAGCTTTACCAGAAAGACGTTAAAAACAGTGGAAGATTTTAAAAAGTCGAAGACGAACTTTTGCTCAGCTGAGATGTGTAGTTACCGCAGTCCTCTGAACACTTTCAATTTTTCTTTTGTTCGGTTTAGCTTTCAGCAGAGAGCAGAAAAGAATGAGATGCGTTCTGTGCAGCATACAATGCAAGCGAAGATCGACAAATATTACATGTTTGCTGAGGTATTTTAATCTAGGCGCGTGTGTAAACCTAAATGGGGCCTGCTTTCAATGAACAGGTCAACGGAATTTGGGTCTACTGGCCTGTCAAGACCGGGCCCTCCTGTCCTGACCAGAGTTCCACCTCCCGTTCCCCCAAGACCATCTCAGCAGGATCGTGGCAACAGTCTGACAGCCTACCGACCAGCATACAGCTCCTTCTCCTCTTCCTACAGCCCCTATGGAGGCTCAGTATATGGGGGCTACAGCCCATACAGCTACGGCTATGGGGGTGGGCTGGGATACAACAGGTTCCGTGCGGACGAAGCTCCACCCAGCCGATTCGTGCAGCAGGCAGAGGAGAGCAGCCGGGGGGCCTTCCAGTCCATCGAGAGCATCGTCCACGCCTTCTCCTCCGTCAGCATGATGATGGATGCCACGTTCTCCGCCGTCTACAACAGCTTCCGGGCAGTCTTGGATGTGGCAAACCACTTCTCCAGGCTGAAGGTCCACTTCACCAAGGTCTTCTCCGCCTTCGCTCTGGTGCGCACCCTGCGGTACCTCTACAGGCGGCTGCAGAGGATGCTGGGACTGCGCAGGGCGTCGGAGGCGGAGGACCTGTGGGCGGACAGCGCTGGCGTAGTGGTTGAGGCTGGAGCTGAAGACAGAGCTGCCAGCTCTGTCAAGTCTTGGCCTATATTCCTTTTCTTTGCTGTCATCCTTGGAGGACCTTACCTGATTTGGAAACTGCTGAGTTCAACTGTTGGGGCAGAAGAAACTGGTGAGTCCCTTTCGAGACAACAATATAGTCATGTATGGAAGAAGAAAACTCACCAGGAAGGAAATACACAGGTTGGAATATATTAGAAATGGGGTTTGATTGTTTTGTTTACCATTATATTAAGACACAGCCTATCCCTTCCATGGTGAAAAACAACAGCAGTGATCTTCATTTGCTTCTTACTGTCAGTACAGTGTTGGTCTGTTTAAAACTATTGTCTGAAAGTATGTCTGATACAGCAGTTTAAGTGTATATTATAGTGTCTGTTATAGTTGAGTATAATCGCTTTTAACCATAATTGTTTGAACCCAAAGCATCCACAAACTGGGCAAATGGCGACGATGACCACGTGGTGGCAAGGGCAGAATATGACTTCACAGCTGCCTCGGAGGAAGAAATTTCTATTCGTCCCGGGGATATGTTGAACTTGGCACCTAAGGGTAAGGATTTGATCCATTTATTTTAAATTACATTGTTTTTAAAAATGATCCAGAACAGTCCAAAGTGCGATTCTGCATAATTAAGCCCCAGTTTTATAGACTTTTAAAGATATGCTGCAGAACATTGGCATGGTTTTAAGAGGGACATGACTGCTGTCTCATTTGTTTGTTGCGCACATACTTTTCCACAAACATTAATTATAGTGTTTTTATTCCTGGCAGAACAACAGCCTAGGGTACGGGGATGGCTTTTGGCCAGTTTGGATGGTCAGAGTACAGGACTCGTCCCAGCCAACTACGTTAAAATTCTCGGCAAAAGGAGAGGCAGGAAGCAAGCAGAACTGGAGAGAATTGCAGAGCAGCAGCCAGGGTCGGCCAGCACACAACAAGCACTGGGAGCTGGGGCAGCTGGGGCAGCTGGGGCAGCTGGGGCAGCGCCAGAGACCCTTTCAAACCCCGAGGATGTGTTCGAGTCCGTGTTCACAGGAACACCGGGAAATCCCGAGAGGAAGCCTTCTTCCAGTGCTGCTATCGTTATTCCTGAGAAAATAGATCTGTGAAATGTGTGCTATTTCTGTGAACATTTTTTGGGGGGGAATTTGATTTTAAAACCGATTCCCTACACATCACTGGTCAAGAAAGGGGAGAAACTGAAAACGTTCTATGTCCTCAGGCTGCTCAGATTACCAGATGACCCACTGTCCGTTTCGTCACTTCACTGACAAGTGAATGCAGCAATTATCACAGGAAGCTAAAAGCCATTTCAAGACAAATTAAATATGTTGTCTGGAAACTTTGGGTGACCCCCAGTCTCCTGTGTCCGATGAGATAATAAATATCCTTGGTTTTCTTTTAATGATGACACTGGCAGAAAACCTCTTGCTGGTTGCATTTTGTAGTCATAATGATTGAAGGCCATTAAATTATGCCAGTGTATTTTTAATAACATTGGACATTCTAGACACATTTAAGATTAACAGGTTGCCAGAAGCTGTTCACTTGCATATAACTTTGATTGTTTGGCCATAGGTTTAAATTTGAAACTGAAAAGAGAAAGTTTTAGAAAATGGATAAGTGGAAAATAAGTGAATTGTTCTTTTTTTATAAAGATGGGATAATGCTGAGTTTTTTTGTTCTGGTGAAAAGTTTCAATCATTATGTATTAATGACAAAGTATATATTTTTTAACAAAGTCAGCATTTTAGGATGAAAACCAAATCCCAAATAAGAGGGAGAATATCAATTACAAATATTAAAAATATTAATATATTAAACCTATGTTTTACCATAACAAAGCTATACCTTATTGTTTTCTTTGAAGGGCTTTCATTGTTTTGTCAATCCTTTTTTTAAGCTAAAGAGCTTCACACTGAATTGTTGAATATGACACGAGTAAACATGGAATTTCCTGTTACATGTATTTCATTCGATGCACTGTTGTTTTGACTCATACTGTTGTCTCTTACCTTTGAGAAAAGATCGAAATTGCTCCTGGGTGCCTTTGGGGGGCTTGTGATTTAAAAGGTTAATACAAAGTGTACAGGGGATTTAATTTAGTTTAATTTAGTGTGCAATGATTGGTCAGTTGTGTTTCACACAAAACTATGAAGTAGGCTATTATTACGGAATAACCGAAGCATTCTTAGAATTGTAAAATCTTTTAGTGTATAAAGATTCGCATTATACACTAAAGGTTACTTTACTTGGAAGTTTGGCTTGGTGAAAATCTAAGCTTCCTCTCAAGTATTAGTAATGCTAATTAATTGATGCAGAGGTGTTTTCACATCGTGAATTAAAGTATGCACAAATATTCAAACTTTCCACGCAATTTTTTATTATTTTTCCCATCTAACAGATTGTAATAAAATTAGATTTAAAAAATATTTTTTTAAAAACAACAATGTGAAAACAAAAAATATTAAGATTGGTACAGTATGCCTTCTGTTTTTACAGGTAATACATGATTTCATCAATAATACAATTCACATTCAGATTTTTAAGCAAATGCTGAAGACAAACATGTACTAAAAGAAATTTGGATGACTTTTCAAGTGAATATGTGACCATCTCATATATAAGGGGTATGACTGATTTAGAAGAAAAAGACAAGTTTGTCTTAAGACTAGGTTATCACATATTTATTGAGGTATCCTAGAACAAACTAATTGAAGCCTGCTATTTTAAGAATGTTAATGTTAGGATTATACCAAAGTGGATGTGATTTGAAGATAATGTAACATAATGTACATATGAACGATTACAAAATATACTGTACTGTAGTACCAATTATTGACATGGTTTGCTCTTATTATTTAAATGGTTAATTTAAATAATTTTTAAACTGTTTTTGTTCATATTCCAGATCCACGTCAGTTTCTGCATCTGACAGCCATTCACAGGCTTGTTTTCAGGGGGTGTGTTATTGTAGAATTTGAGTCAACGTCTCTAAAATGTACATGTAAAAATGGAGACTTATTTTGACATAATAAAACGTTTGTTCAACAGCAGTTCCTGTTATTAAATAGATTAATTAGTAAGTGATGAGGTTCGTGGAGTCACATTATTTCAGTCTTTTTATGATCATCGCAGACTTTCAATTTTTTTTTATATATATCAGTATGTACATTTAATTACTTTAGGCTTTGTGTCTACAGAAATGTAAACTAAAAGATCCACAGATGACAGGAATAAATTTCAGATTGACTGTAAATGTAGCATACAGAAGGCTCCATGGCCGAAACGTTGTGTTCTCTTTCTTCTTTTTTTCAGCATGGAATAAACCTATTACTTGTTCCTTTACATATAGAATATATAAAGAAAATTACAATGCAAGCCATGTCTTTTGTTTGAGCTTAGGTACATTCAGATAATTTATAACTATTGAGCTTAACTGAAAGTCACAAGGAATAACAACATCCAAGATCAGATGCTTTGTAAATGTGGATTATTTTAGTAGGACAGTTTTGTCTCAACCCACTTGGTTACTTGGTAGCCCCCTGGCCTGAGGACGAGGAAAGGGGATGGATAGCTGTAAGCTGGACAAACATCTTGAGAACGGCTGGGTGAGATTAACATGCTGTTATTCCTCCCAAACTTCATTTGCTAGCTTCCTTTTTATGTCAGCTATTAGCTTACTACGGTACATACGTCTTCGAGACCTTATTAACAATGTTTAGTTCATAGCACACAGAATGCTTATCATGTTCCTGTTATGTTCAAAATGTAATTGTCAGATATCTAGTATAATGAAATTAGTTACTCCATTTAAACTTGCATTCTATATGTTCCTTGAGGTATGCAGCAGTACCTTTTGAAGAAGTTCAGTTTAATTTGAAAACAATGTCCAAAGGTGTATCAATATACTGTATAATGACACTTCCATCTATAGAAGTCCATCAGGATACTCTAACCAATACATAAACATGTTAATGCTTAATATAAATTATAAATTCCAGTAGGAAATAGTAATCGGTAAACAATTTTGCTGCATTTTTAGTAAAAAGAGTTAGCCCTTTACCGTGGAGGGCTAGGATTAGTTAACCAGAGTTCTCCTGACCTTTGTGTAGGCAATTCCTATGACTTCCTAAGTTCCCAAGGGCCAGTAGTAATGTCAAAGAGAGACACTTCACTCCTACAGTTAACTTTTCCATTCAGCACTGTGGATTAATGAGAAAAGAAGAAAGGGTCAATGGGTAGGCAGGTTGGATCAACAAGCCTGCAGTTCCTCATTCTTTCCATGCTGTACAGGAGTCTTTGAAAGTCAGCCAAAACGTAAAGAAATAATTGTCAATTCCATATTGGGTGGGTATAAAATGAAAAAAATCACTAAAAACTGTAGCTTTTATAAAACGTCACAATTCACACTCAACATTGTTGTTATCATTTCAGATGATGTCAATCAGTCTTCACTGACAATCCTAACAGCTTATCCTGTTTAGAAATAGAAAGAAAGCATTTGTCCTTCAGTACAATAAAAGAGCAGTTGAAAATGTTAAAAGTAACTATCATAACAACCCTGCTATAGAAGAATGAAAATCCATGTCCCAAAAGGGCCACATATGTTCCCAACAACAGTACACACAAGGGGACACTATAAAGCACATGCTTGGGCATAGACGAATGTTGTGTGTTCTAGAGAGCCATGTGATAAAGAATGGCATCTTTGAGATCTACCACAATATCAAATATATTAGACTTTGGCCACACAGTCAAAACATACACCTTATCAGATGTAGACATTGTGGCAGACAAGCTTAAAAGAACTGTCAATTTACGATCACAAAATGTAAGAGAATTATTTTCACAGGAATGCAACATCCAGCATAAAGGTTCTCTATTGCAAATTCTTTTGCTACCGATGTATGAGAATGACATGTTTCCATAATATACTGTTTCCATAATACATTTTATGGGACCATGGATTAACCAGTAAAAACGTCTCCCTGAAAAACATCTTCCACTGAAAGAAAACGACATTTCAAGGCACTTTTGCTTCAATCCGTTGTAGTTTGACCTGACCATGTAGGATTTGGTCCGTCTTAAGTCTACCAAGACCTAGTCCCTAGTTCTAAACCAATGCATTTACAACTGTTGACATGGTCTTGGTACAGTATGTGAAATGGGCCTCATCTATCCACAATATTTTGTTAAACCAGGCTTAAGGAACCCTAACCATGACTGCCAGGCTCCAGCTTGTAGTTGTAGTACCATAATCATTTGGTACAAGTAACAGGTACTATTTTCATACAGTACATCACTATTCACACTGTTGCTGTTTGGCAATTTTGTCTCATACTGATGACTTCAAGGGAACTTTCATAGAAAAAATTCAACTGTTGTGTTCAACCTTGAAGATAATTTCAACAGGTTCTGTTGGTTATTTGCTGTTTGGTATATTGTCGGCCATCTGCTTTTGTACAAATTTCAGCTCTGTTACAACCTAGCTGTTACACAGTGTTTGCCAAAAGCTGATCTAATTTCAACAGAACCCAAATGCCTCAGCAGGACTGCTCTTCCTATTATAACAATGCTTCAGGTGAGTAATTCTCATTTGTAATAGTAATCTTCATAGCATGTTCCACAACCGACGGAATTCTGTTGTGTGCAAGCAATTTTAATTCCTAAAAGCACACCACGCACCTTCTTGTAGTACTGTTCGAGCCCTCTGATGTGTACATTCATTTACTTGAAAGATCAGGGAACATTTTCCCAAGGCCCCATTAATATATGTGCTAAATTCTACTGCTCCACGGTTATTACATTACCATTGTTTAAATGTGCAAACTTAATCGGTACCGTTATTTCCTTGCTCCATGAAATTAACATTAAAGTTTTTACCTGCTGTGTCAGCTGTTTCTCAAACCTCTTGCAAAAGTTGTGCAGTTCTTCTACAGTCTTTTCCTTAAGTCTGAGCTGCAAGGTCTTCTCTTCTAATCTTGATTGTAAGGATTTACAATTTTTACACTTCATGGAGAACAAATAGTTGGAAAACAAAGACGGGGAAAAAACAACACCATTAACACACTAAGACCCAGATTAAATGAAAATTTTCAGTTCATCTGCTGACTAGTTTACAAGGCCTGTATTTCATTTTTTTTTCTTTGTTTCTTCAAGTATTGGGGTTATAATTCACATTTGTTAAGTGAGTCAAAGTTTTTATTTAATGTAGGCCTAAGATTTAAAATAAGAAAATTTGGAAAAATGTCTGGATAGCAATTTTGTTTTTCTTGACATACAAAACACAAACTATACTGACTTCCAGTCAACACAAAATGTATAATAAAACATTATGTAGTATAGGTTTTAATTTACAGCTTAAACAAAACTTACCTTTATTATGTACAGTAATATTCTGACAATACTACTTGGCCATTTTAGACTGAAAAGTTCAAGGTTTATACTAGACACAAGGTTTAAATAACGAAAAATAACTTTTAAATACAAAATAATAATTTACTATTACTATTTAGTCATAATGCATTCCAGAATCATACCATACTACCTTATGTGAATACTTATTCCTCTTACATTGTTTTGACTAAATAGAAGCACAAATAATAGAGTTTCTTTTTTTTTAATGTTAATATTTAAAATAAACAGATTCCTTTATGATATGATATGATATGCACTCTAATTTCTAACATGGCAAAACACCTTCATTGACACAGTAGTCATTTTTATAAACTATTTCTTAAGTTTAAAAAAAATGCTTTTTAGCATTTATGTTAATTCATTCTTAAAGGGGGTTATGTACCATTTTTGGAATTTGCTCTGCTGTTAATTGTTTCTTTAGAGTTTTGGTTTCTTCAGTCAGTCTGACTATTTCCTTAGTGAGATCCTCAAGCTGTTGATGTCGCTCCCTGAAAGTTTTAAAACACACTGTGACCAAACACATTGGATAAAGGTTTGCAGGACATTCTTCAAAATCTCTAGATAGAATCTAGAATCTCTAGATTGAAGATAAATCTAGTCCAAACGCATCTCTAATGCAATTAATAGTTTTTTAAAGCAATTTTAATATATTTTCAAAAGTGCAACAGTTAATGTTAACTGTTAATCTGTTATTTGGATAGGAAATAGCAGTTAGAATATTTTTTTTATTTGTTTATAAAATAATTACCAAGATCTTCCTTCAAGGATGTCTGAGACCTGTTGTTTCAACTTGCTGATTTTTTCATTGTTGCTGTGTCTCTCAGAGTCCATCTCTTTTTTTAACTCTGCAATATTCACATTATGCTGCAAAAAGTACATTATAGAGATTTTCAGTAGTGAGCTTCAGCCTTAACACCAGGCTCAGCATCAAACAGCTCTATTAAAATATTTTAATAATGTGCAAATGTTGGAGAAATATTTTTCCCATTTGTTGCACACAGTCTTTCACATAAAAACTAATGGGGCACTGGAATAGGAGTTTACTCTAACCAACTCAACAAAAAAAACTTTAATTAGTTTGAAGTACCCAATTTGTAGACAGACCATTCCCAATGTGATGTAGTTCCCCTACATCATTTTCAATAACTGATTTACACTGTAGATGGAATTCCAGACTATTGTAGGGCACACACACTCATTAAAGGTAACAGTTAACCCGGGCAGCATATATACTGTGAGAGAAAACAAAAGTACCTGAAGAAAACCTCCATGCATTCAAGGATAATATGCAAACTCCACAGAAAAAGTACCCCAGGTCCAGAATTAAACCCAGGACCCAAAGGGTTTGAGACAGTAGCACTAACCACCATGGCACCATGCTGCCTTGATGCATTACACATACAGTACCAGCAATTTCAGCTCCTTGATTGTTTGTTCACAGGCTGAAGTGCGTTCGTGATTTATCTGCATCTGTTCTTGCACTGCCATTTCGGCTTTCTGCAGCTGAGCTTTGGTCTGACAATGGAGCTCTCTTTCAGAAGTCAGTTCTTTCAAATGTTCATCCTAGGCATGAAAAACATATAAATGTGAAATGTTACAAAAGTGACTCACAGCTTAAATGAATATTAGTTTATCCTGTACTTTTAAGCATGTAATCATGACTTGGGATACAAGCTACCTTTTCCTGTATTAGTGTGGATAAACTGGACATGCACAGGACCTTTTCCTTTAATTCGCCTTTTAGATGCAAGATTTCTTTCTCAAGAGCTGCATTCCTTTCCAGTAAACTATTGTGAAGAAGAGATACCTGTGGAGCCAAATAACAAGATTATTCACAATTCACCAATACAGATGTATATGACATACAGTAAGCATGCACAGGTATACCAAGTCTAGGTATGTGGAAAAAATACTCCGAGATTTTATATATTGGAATATAATTTGGAATTGCTAAATAAAATATTTTTTTCTAAAAAATATTCATGAACAACAAGAATATATCCATTAAATAATAACACATAATAACACAAACACAAATTGTCCCACATCATTAACGGCACTACACAGTAGCCAAAGTATCATTATTTCACTGATACAACAAATTAAGCAAATTTGGGTTAATTTGTTCTGGCTGTTTCTCAGATTAGCCAGACAGTTTGTCTGTAGAGGCAGCATTAGTGTCACTTGTGTTTGTCCATTTATGCCTTTCAGTCCTTCTGCAGACAATAACAACAAAAAAGAACAAAACATTAAATCGCTTGTGGAACCTCTGAAAGGAAAAGGAGTCAACATCAAGCTCAGTCACAGACTGCACGGTATTATTACCTGTGTCGATTTATCCCTCACTGATTTTGCCATCTTCTCTCTACCAATAACTCTTGACTTTGACTCCATCCTGACAGGGGCCCGTGCCCCACACAGTGGCACTGCCACACCAGTCACATGACACTGCTCTCTGGGGCGTTGAGCTGCTCTTGTGACTGACACTTCGCTTCTGTCTGACAGCTGTCTGGTGGATGCTCTTGAATTGTGTAGTTTTGAATTACAGTTTGTGTTTCTCGCAGAAGCCATTTTTTTTTTCTAAAGCAACGCCTAGGTATTAGACCCTGATAAAACGAATGTACTTTTCTCTGCGAAAACAGATGAAAGGTTTTTTCACATCACGATGCATCTTATTGTCTGTCCACCATCATCCCACCTGTGAAAAGCACACAGAAACACGCACAATGTTTCTGTGAATCCTAATACAATTTAATAAACAGTTGTAAAGACGCAATATATTTTTATATTATCTGTATTTGGACCATTTATTTCAAAGCTCCGTCTTTAGATGTTAAACTCCGTAAGGAAGCTAAACAACTGACTGAAAGCTTTGTATGTGGTCCGAAAGAAGATGGTCAACGCAAAGCTATGTGAAAATTGCCAACACAAACTTTTCTGTTTAATCACAAAAAGTGGAATACGCAAAGGCAGACAACAGTAAAGAGCAAAAAAGGAAATGTATCCTACAAATATGTCAAGATGACATTTCGTAATTCGACATACAACTATAAAACTGGATTAAAAAAATACGTGTACAAATGACTACAAGCACCAAAACTCAACTGTTACTAGGCAACGGCGACGCTTTCCTAACCCACCTGCACTGCGGCACCGGAAGGGAACCTAGTCATCTGCAACACTCACTAACACAAGAGCGGAAAGCACCGCCCACTGATTACTGATTGGCTAAGAATAGGTATATTCCGGTCACTGGGAGACCCGTCTTATTTTCGCAGATTACAATGATTGCTCCGCTGGCTTGTCTGTCAAAACTTGCAGCTATCGGTGTAAGTGAAGGGAGGGGGATCTTACTGCAGCACTATAATAAAGTGAAATGTCTAGCTAATGCACCACTGGATGACCGGGTGGCAGATACCGAGAACTGTGGCTTTTCGTGTTGTAAACGAATTAATGTAATTGCTGTCTTTTATGTCAAGACTGGATATATCTTATAAAGCTTTTGAAAAGAAGAGGAGGACCCTTTAATGAGAAAATTAGCTAAGTATTACATGGCATAGCATGCTTTAAATTGATAAAGCTACTATAATAAAGCCTTAAATTAACGCATTTATAATTTGGAAGTTATTATATTTATTACATTTCGTTGTTACATGGTTTTTATTGCCTCATTCATTGTGAGGAACATAAGGCATTGTGGTGGTGTTTCCTGGGAAGCGCAATGCGTACGGACGTCATCAATCTTTTATGACGAACGTTATTCTGCATGGCGTTAGGTTCAGTTCTGCATGGTGTTGGGTAGTATTGCTAGCATTTCAGAATTATGTGCTACCTAGCTAACAAAATGAGATCCTGGGGGAAAAAAAGAAAAATTGTGAACTTTACAATGTTGAAATATTACAAATAATCTTTTAAGTGTCCTTGACATACCTTTTAAACTATGTACAGTAGCAGGGCGGACTCTTATTTTTGATTTGCCTCAGCAAAGGCGATCTCAGCTTTTCTCTTAAATGACATTTTAGGCTAAAAGAAAATCAAGACAAAGGAAGACCATGTTCAAAATCCAAGAGGACTTTCGATTCATACACTTTTATGACAAGTTTTAAAAAATGTCTTTGGCAGAGTTACACATTGCCTATTTTTTAATTTATGCGGAATTACTTGCGTGGGAGAGGCTATAACAAGAGAGCGCTTTCTTTTTTAATTGCCTTAATTGACAACGCCTCATTAGTCTAGCTAAGTTAATTATTTTAGGACGTGGGACGAAACTCACTTTATAATGGCAAATTAAAAATGTGATTGGTTTCAGCTTGGTCTTCAATAAACAGAATTATTCTTCATTCTATTGGCAGAAAAAAAGTGAAGCCTTATAAACCAGTTACCCTCTTATAACAGACCCACAAGTGTACAAGAAGGAGAACTATTTGGCCCATCTAACCAAATAATTTGGATGTTGGTCATTAATCCAAGGATTCTTCCAGCCAATCCTTGAAAGAACCCATAGTCCCACAACCCTTTGGGTAAACCCTTTTGCCCTCTGCTCTTTGTGTAAAATGTTCTTTCACATAGTCCTGTGGTTCATGCTTCACAGTTGATCCTGAAAGGGTCTGCTGGGTGGGTTGACTTTATAGGTACCTTTACATATTTTTTTTGTATTTTAAATCCTTGGATCAGGTCCATCATGGTCTCTATTCAAGAAAAAAATAAAGGTTCAGTATTTTAAACTGTCCATAGAGGACGTTCCTTTAGGCCCCAGAATGCTTCTTGTTGCACTTCCCTGGACTGATTCCAGAGCAGCAATTTTTTTGTGTAATACAGTGACGAGAATCGTTCATAATATTCTAAATTAAATTTAACAAGTATATTGTGAAATATTAACACAACATAGTAGTTCAGGTGGGTAGCTGCGTCAGCATGCGTAGGCTGCAAAGGAACAAGTAATAGGTTTATTCCATGCTGAAAAAAAGAAGAAAGAAAACACAATGTTTCGGCAGTGGAGGCTTGTTCGCACCTAAAGAAGGCTCCACAGCCGAGACTTTGTGTTTTCTTTTTTTCAGCATGGAATAAACCTATTACTTGTTCATTAACACAACATGCCTTGGTGTAAATTCTAAGCTTTTAACTTTCTATCCCAACATTTAGTTGGTCTTTTTCAGTGCTTCCTCTTATTGCCTAAAAGGTGTAGACAATATGTCATCTTAAATACACATTACACTTTAAGCTCAGTATTTCTAATTTTGTCATTTGTATTTTTCCTACTTGAATGTAATATTCTGCACATTTCTATATTTAAACATTATCAGTCAGGTGTTTGCGCACTCTTGAATTTTATCTCAATCTTTTTTAAATTGGTTTGCTAACCCTCCCATTTTTATATTGTCTGCAAAGTTAATGGTGTTTACTCTGCGGCATACTGCCTATACAAGAATCTAGATCATTGGTATAAGTTAGAATGAGATAAGGTACTAATACAGATCCCTGTGGTACTCCACTAAATCGCCCTATTTAACTACAATCCCGTTGAATGTTCAGTTGTCTATTAATGTTCATACTTAAGAATTCTGCTTCTAAAAGTGTCTTTCTTAACATGTGTTCTTTATGTCTAATTCATTACAGGAATGAGCCGTTTCTGCTCTGTGAACAACAACTTTCCCTATGATAATAACATCTTGGTTCTAGACATGATTTTAAGTTCCCTTTGGGGTGTTCCTCAGCCCATAAACTGGGAGAATGTGGCAAGACTTGTACCTGGTTTCACACCCAAAGAGGTAAAATCCTGTCTACTGTAGTTATGATACTGTGGCATGCGATCCCACATATTGGCAATGAAAGTCATTTGAAGGAAACAAATATTTCTTTTGAAAGTGATATTAACTAAATCCCATGGTACAGTAGGTCTCCTTTGTCTTTCTAAAGTCATTATAAAAAGCCATGTGGCACACTGTGTACTAAACATTTTGTTTTCTTGTGTTCATGGAAATTCCTTAGCAGTAAGGGAAGTATCAAAATTACTTTGGGTCAAAACATGTTCCTACATTGTAGTGTAGTTTATACACAGAGTTATTAGTATTATAATGTAAGAAGTACAGTAAAATGAATACTGAGAATTTCATCTCTTGCAATGATTTACAGTGCGCTAGGAGATTCGAGGAATTGAAGAACAGTGGAAGCCTTCCATACACTGATAACCAATGCAATGCATTAGTGGCGAGTGGGGGATCCCCATCAGATACCCTGACGACATACGTCAAGCCCACATTGCTTGACTCTTTTGAAGAACTGGGAGAAAAGCGAACCAGTCAGAGCACTATTTCAGTGACTGGTAAGAGTGGAGGCTTTAATATTCCAAACAGAACTTAATGCTATTTCATTTAGTTATCTGGAATAGTTTGGAAGTATATATTGCTCTGGTTCTTTTCTGCACTCTTTGGTAGAGCATAATGCTTCAAACTGTAAATAAGCAAACGATCTTTGACATCTTTTTGCCAATGTATTTATATTTGTTTCAGGTTTTCCTGTAACACACTCATCAGCCGAGAAAGAGACCAACACTACAGATGAGTACAAAGGGAATGTGGATGAAAGCAAAGGGTGGGGCTTCATTAGCTTGCTTTTAATGAGCCTATCAAAATGTTTAAGAAAATCAGCATGCCGTTTCATAATGAAATTAGTATAAATAATCATTCCTTATACTTTTCTGGACACTCCACCCAAAGTGCTTTACAGATAATGAGGACTCCCTTTCACCACCACCAATGTGCAGCCCCACATGAATGATGCAATGGCAGCCACAGTCCCAGTACACTCACCACACACCAGCTATCAGTTGGGAGGAGAACAGAGTGATGAAGCCGTTTCATAGATGGGGATTATTAGGAGGGACAATGGGATGGTCAGGATGCCGGGTTTATACCCCTACTATTTTTGAGAAGCACCCTGAGATTTTTAATCTGTGACTTCTATGCCCACAGAGAGGCCCAACTGATGGCTGGTGTGTGGTGAGTGTACTGGGACCTTGGTTTAACATCTCAAAGGACAGTGCCTTTTTAGAGTATAACATTAGGGTGAGCACCCCCTACTGGCCCCATTAACAGCTGCAACCTTAGTTTCTCCCAGGTGGTCTCCCATCCAGATAGTTGCCAAGCTCACCCCTGCTTAGTTTCAGTGGGTTGTCAATTGTGAGATGGAAAGTGATATGGCTGCTGGTAAATTACTTTCCTCCAATGTTTAATTATTTTATGAAATGAATGCCACTCAAGTAATTTTAATATATGTATTACTGTATTCTATTGCCTTCATTCTTTTTAAATCTTTTGGTTTTTTTATACTAATATTCTGTAATATTAATCTTTCGCACTGTGAGACACTTGTTCATTTCAGACCGGGTAATGATATTATACGGATAGATCATTTTTACGATCGTTCCACAGTGTTAAATATCCTAATTTGTGAATGTCACTTTCTACACCGTCCCTTTCAGACCTAACATGGTGATCCATGTCTGTGATGAGGCCAAGAATCTGAAGCAGGATTTTGTGTGCCCACGAGACCTCCTCATCAATGAGATGAAGTACTTTGCTGAGTACCTGTCTGTGGATGCCCAGCGCTGGGAGGAGGTGGACATTTCTGTGCACTGTGATGTTCAGATCTTTGACTGGCTGATGAATTATGTGAAGAGGAATGGCGAATCATCTGAAAACAATGACAAACCCAGGTTAGGTAGGGAAAAACACCTTTTGATTTATTCGAGTGTTCATTGAATGATAAAATAATGAAAACAATAATTATGTAAGACTGCAGAAATGTGAACATAGAATTGCGCTGAAGTATTTTGAATGGTATTGTGCAATTGAGCTATTTGCTGTATCATGAATTATGATATTTTAACATTTGTTGCATTAGGTGTTGTGTGTAATATGCATTTATTTCAGAACCCAGCAATGTGATTTCAATCCTGATCTCTTCAGAATTTCTGAAAATGGATACTTTAGTAAGTAACCTATGCTTGCTGCAAGTGTTCTATTTCTGGACCATATGATATAATCTGTGCAATTAGCTGGCTTTCCATTACTTGCAAAGACTGGTCATGTTGTTCTTGGAATAAAACTAGTATGCAATTTTTATACCGTTTTGAGCCTTTGTGCAGTGTTTGTGTAGATTTCTATCTTCGCTTTTTGCAATTTCTGAAGCATGTTATAATAAGATTAAACAACAATTTTACTAACTCCTTTTTCTCTTAGGTTGAAGAATGTGTACAGTACTGTCATAAGCACATGGGTGCTATTGTAGCTACTCCATGCAATATGAACTGCATCAATTCTAACTTAGCTACCCGAATAGCAGACCTGTTCACTCACAATGAGGCAGATGACATAAAAGACAAAAAGGATAAATTTAAAAGGTAACAAGTTTTGAAGTTTGTTCAGATGTGTTCTGTGTGTGTCAGCTGTATGGTTGTGTTTATTATACATTATACTGTACAGTATAAGTGTTGTTAAACAAAAGATTTTAAACAAAATAAAAACGTATCCTGAAATCATTAAAATGCCACTGTGGCATGTTTTCATTTATTATATATTTATATTATTTTTATATTTAGATTATTATTATATATAACATAATAATATATAACATATATCTAACATAATAAATCTACAATATTTATTATATATGATATATGTATATATGTATATATGTATTTTGCCTTTGTTCTGCAGCAAACTATTTCAGAAAAAGATTGAGAGACTTTTTGACTCAGAGTATAAGAATCCTGATTCTCCAGGCAATGCTGCAACCCTGTACAGGTAAAAACGATTATTTTCTTCCTCTTGTGCTTTCCAGAGTACCGTGCTTGTCAACACAGCTCTTTGCTTTTTCTCCCTCTTCAGATGTTGTCTTTGCAATAAACTTCTTACCAAAGAAACAGAGAGCAAAATCTCCTGTGTTCCGGGGAAGATCAACATTGATCTTCATGGGAATATAATATACACCCATACAAGGTAATGCTTACCATTTACGTCTTTGGTATGGATTTTTTTCAGTGAACCTAAATAAATTCACATAAAAACTAAACATTGGCTTCCTGATTTGCAGTGCCCTCCAAACAAATTGGAACACAAAATTCAAAAGTATTTTTTTTGCTCAATGGTAAAGCCATTTGTATTTGTGATCATGTAATTAACTTGATTGACAATTCAGCATCTTAAATGACTGCAGAAAAAGGTTGGTGAGAACAGGTGTCAGGTGTCATGCAGTGTTTGTCTCAAAGTGAAATGTAACTGAATACTGACTTATAAAATCTGAAATGTACTTACTTTATGTGAAGGTGCTCCCCAATTTTTATTCTCACTTGAAATAACTGGATTGAACCCAGGCATGTTTGTGTTATAATATCATCAAATATATAAATAAAATTATCCAAAAATAAAATAAAAATATTGTACATGTCATTCATACATCTCCTTAATCTCCTGATCACAAATACAAATCGCTTGACTGTAAACCAAGAAGAACAGTTTTGACTTTGCTTTCCCAATACATTTAGAGTGTTGTAAGTTATGAGTCTGCAGTAGCTGTATTTCCTGAAAGATAGAGTCATGCTTTTATCACATACTGTAAGTCCATAAATGTAAAAAACAACAGTAAAGTCCAAGTTTGCCTCGACACAAATTTTCTTTGTGATTTCCGTGACGGTCATTGAAATTGTACAATTAATTCTCAGTCAAAACTTGCTATTAAGCAGTATTTAGGTCTTGTCGGTTTATTTTCACTTACAGAGAAAAAAACTGGGAAATACATGACTATTTAATCAGTTTATACGAGGAATTAAAATCCTGGAACCTTGTTTACTGGAGAATCTGGGGAACCATTAATTCATTGACCTGTTCTCAGTGTAAGCAGGTAGGAGTTTTATTCATTTAACCATAAATTTGGTATTTCAAATGGCTTGTGTTTTGAAAGAGATTAATAAGTTGAGCACTGAAGCGTGATGTTATGAAAGCATACAGTAAATCACACAGATAGCATACAGATAGACTTGTTCAGCATTGTGACAAGGACTTCTCTTCACACCCACTGACAATTCCCTTGCCTTGTGTAATAACCGACACTTTGATGGTCTGCCCCCTGTCTTGTCAGGTGTTCCTGTGCACTGAGTTGTCTCAGTGTCACTACCACCCTGAAAAAGCAGTGTACCCCACTTCCGTCAGTGGGCGGGGCTCTCAGGCCATTGGGGTCTATACCTGCTGCGGTCAGAGAGTACTGCGCTTCGATCCCACCAGAATGCCCAAGGTAGCATGTCGTGATCTTTGCTCATTACTTCAAATTAAAATCTTTAATGATAATTATTGGTAACATTTTATATGCCTCTCGTAAGTGGAATGCAGAAGTAATATGACTTTTTTGCCCAATATTTGTAGTGAAATGCAAATGCAGGCCCTTCCTTATTTAATCCAACAAAGTCTATTTTAAACTCACTAAGCAGTTGTGTCCCACCTTTTTTGTGGCCCACTAGTTGATTGTCGTATCTGGACGGGGAGCCCATGGATCTTCCATTTTATTATCTGCCCCTTGTGTTGATGCAGGGTTGTCAAATGAAAGACCACATTGTTAGTATAGATGGGGACCGTGGAGACCATCAGCCCGATTCATCCCAAACCAGAATCCTGAATGACCTGCTCCTGCACAGGGATGCTGTTTGTGTGCCCTGCCCTCCTGATCCTGAATGGTAAGAGAGAGATGAGTTATAACAGGACTGCAGAAACCATGTTATTCTACTGTCACATTTAGGAAGCCATTGTAGAAAATTAGTTTCAAAATAATATTAAAGTGTGCGGCACAGTGGCACAGTGGTTGGCATTGTCCTGCAGTCCTGGGACGCTTGGCTGCAAGGCTTGGGAATTCCAAATTGTGAATGGGAATGGGTTGAGAATTGGGTTCAGTTCCCAAACTGGTGCTCTGTCTGCTTGGAGTCTGTATGTTCTCCTCGTGTTTACACGGGTTTCCTTCGGATACTCCGGTTTCCTCCCACAGTCCAAAAACATACTTGTAGGTTAATTGGCTTCTGGGAAAACTGACCCTAGGCGTGAGTGTGTGCCTGTCAGTGCTTGTGTCTGTCTGCCCTGCGATAGTAGAATGGCTTCCCATCCAGGGTGTAGCCTGCCTTGCGCCCGTTTCTGCAGAGAAGGCCTCTGGCTCCCCCGCGACCCTGAATTGGATGGAATGGGTGGGTGGATGGAAGACCATTTGCTGTTCATACTGTTTCACTGGGGTATCTTTATTCAACAGCAATGGTACCTCTTCAGCATCAGGAGAGAGGGCCCCCGACTGTGATATTCAACTGGAACCGAATGTTCTGAGAGGGCAAAAGCCTGGCGAGGCTACTGCAGTGAGTTCACAACTCAGATATGTGTGGATTGTACAGTTTCCTCAAAAAAATAAAGCGATGCCCACATTTTCCTCTTCTTCTTTCTTCTCTGTTTACAGTTTTCACTGTTGAAAAATTGGAGCTTGCAGCTGGTACGTCATTTACGTTCCCCATATGTATAGTCTGCTTCAGTTCTTTCCCTCTGATGTGCAGTCTGAGTTCAACAGCATAACTCAATGTTAGTCTGGAGATTTGAATTCAGATTTTATCTTAGGCGTTCCTTATTATGTCAGAGTAAATGTCAGTGTTTTCATATAGAGGCAGCAGTCCCTTTTATCTGAAGATGAGGAATATACCACGGGCTCAGAGGTCACCGAAGATGAGGTTGGAGATGAAGAAGAGGTGTCCAAAAAGCAAGGTAAAACAAGAGCAAGAGTTTTCTGTGATTGTGTATACTACCTGACATAGATGGTGCTAACTTAGTTATTGCTTGTTAAACATTGACTTTTAAACGTCATCTGTGCTCAACTGCCCTGCATGCATATCTGATAAATGTTGTTTTATAACTAATTGAAAGTTTACAAAAATGTGGCATACAGTAATATAAGCAGTTAAGTTCCTGTAGTATTACACAAAAATTCAAAAATATTTGGAATTTGGAATCATGTTTCCTTTTTCATGTAATCGTTTTACAATATATCCAATTAAAAAATGGACAAGAAAGATCTACTGAAAGCTATGGAGAGTCATCTACTGTGTGCTGAAATTTAGCAGTGGGAACCTCCTATTTTTATAACCTTTCAGATAACATTCAGAAATGTCTGACATAATAAATTAAATGCCTCTCATTTGCTGTAAAAAGCTATGTATGGTTTTATGTTTGATTCAATACAGTAAGTACTGAATAAAAAAGAATGTTGTGATTTAAACAATGTGTGACACTATGTTTTATGTATATGTAATTATCTTTGCACCATTTGTAATTGATTGTAGGTGCAAAGAAAGCTAAGAAGATTTCCAAACCACTTAAGAGACAAGTGTCATCACCCAGCTTTCAGAGGAGAGATAAAACAGTGGAAAAGGTAAAAGCATTCATTTATAAGATGTTTATGAACTACAGGTCCAAACAGATGGATTACTGATTTTAATCTTACATCCTTTAAATGTCTTTCAGTGGATTTCAGATAAATTCCAGCTAATATTGTCATAACAAATAATGTGTTAGTTACTGAATACAGAGGCACTGTTCTCTCAGAACAAACAAAAAATAATCAAATAAAATTAATTGAATATTAAATATCTCTGTCTTGTCTGAAACCAGCTGTTATTGTCTTGGGCAGTTAACTAATTGGTGTTGCCTTGCTCATTTGGAGCAGACAGGCAATGAGGTGAACCCCAGACACTCAGTCATGCCTGTTCAATCGTTTGCTTGCATCAAACCACTCCTTAAAATTCATAACATTTTTCTTTAAAATTATTTTTTTGGTGCAATTTCTTGATATTTTTGTTCTGACCTGGACAATATTAAAGTATGTAATGACAAGCCATAAGGTCTTCTCAATGTTTTGTTTGGAGGCACAGATGTTTAAAAAACATAACTAACAGCAACCGGTAATCTGAAGCGAATACTAGAATCATTACGAAGGCATTAGATGTGATGTGTTGTTATGTTCTCTGTGCTTGGTCAATGAGCCAATTAAACTGTCCTGTGCTGATCTCCAGCTGTGTGCTGAGCATGTCACAGCTTGAAACTCATGCAGTGCGGCAGTGTAGAAATCTGCTGGGATGTAAGGGGGTTCTTTTCGCCATTGTCCAGGGAGTGGTGCTGTTTAAGACCTGGGCCTAAAGTGACCGTGATTGAATGCAGGGGCAGAGTTTTACTGCGCATTACATTTATAACCTACTGCTTGTGAGTGAAAGTTTGAGAGTTATATTTAAACCTTTTAGTAAAAGACACCCAATGGTGGTGTACTGTACTTATTATTATACTAAGTTTAAACAGATTCCCATTTGTTTTGTCTCACTCTGTAAATAAAGGCCTTTATTTTGTACTTTATGATGAACCTCACTTCTCCCTTCTGACACTGTGCACCCATGACTCATTCACAGTAGACTTGTGAAAGCAGTTAATCCGATTAAGTTTTTTTTTGTTATCCTTTATTTTAGGCTCCTTCCCGAGATTCAACAGCATTCACGTAAGTTTTCTTTAATTCGGTCAGATATAGCCTTTAAATACCCTAGGGTAAACCTTCAAGTTCGTAAATAAATGTGTAAAATAAAACAGTTAAACAATCAATAATGTTTTATGGTTTGTAGAGTTGGTTAACATTCATATTAGTCTTTGACTAAATGGATTATAGGTTTTGAGTTGCTGTCATTTTCATTAAATAAGAAGTTATATTTTTAAGTTTTACATATTAAGTTGTCTGTATTGGTAAATATAATTATATATGCCTAATAAGACTAGGAGCTATTAAATGATATAGTGTCTTTTTTAGAGTACTGTTGAAGTTTGTAGGCATAGATTACCTCATATCGGTAAATTCCTGGTTGTCCTCCATGTTACAAAGCCATGTAAGAACTGTTGAATTCAATCTTAAATATTTATGACATGTTATAGACCATATCAAAAGCTGTTCAAAGTGTTCTTACGCAGGATGAAACTTGAAGAACTGCGCATTGCGATGGGGAAATTGCCCTTTCTTCGGTGACTGTGATAAAAAAGATATGAAAGATAAAAAATACTTGTACAAAGTCCGTTAGTTAATTAGTTCACCTGTATGATTCATTCATATTTTATCATTCACAGGCAGTTTGTTAATGGAATACACAAGTCTCTTTTAATTATGCATAGACCACGTTTTCTTATTTCTTCATTTTAGACCATTAATTTCACAGTGTCATGGTGGTTTAGACTGCAGTGGTATAATGGTACTGCTACTGCCTCACAGCTCTGGGGTCTTGGGTTTGATTCTGCTGCGCCTCCGCTGTGTGTTCTCCTTGTGTTTAAATGGGTTTTCTTCAGGACAGCTGGTTTCTTCCCATAGGCCAAAGACACGTTGGCGGTTTAATTGTCCATCTCTAATCTGTCTGTGTGTGTTTATCAGGAGTGGTCAATCATAGTCCTGGAGGACTGGTCATTTTCAAAGCACCTAGAACTTAAAAGTACTACAGAGCTGGAAGAAGGTGGTAAATTAAGCCAATAATTCGTTAATTTAGGTTAACTGCGGATATACTGGCCATTCAAAACCAGGATTGCCTATCCCTAGTTTATACCTTGCGATGGACTGGTGCTCCATCCTTGTATCTGAGTTTACTAGACTCTCATGGGGAACAAGTGGTTTTCTGATAATAGATGGGTAGTATACTCAGGATTTTTTGTAGCCATATGACACTGGCACAGGAAGTTCACCTGCATCCATCTGAAAGCTGAATCATTGCAACTAATTGTTTTTTCAGAGTAAGTACGCAGAAAAGTAAATGGGACAGCACACGGTCCATGCGATACAACCAAGATGCACAAAGAGAAGAAGGTACGACACTTTTCAAAACATGTTTTTCTTCCATTTATCTAATTTAATTCACGTAAATTTCTGAATTAAATGCATCTTTTTTTTTACTTTAAAAAATATTACTATTGCAGATCAGCGAAGGATGGTAGAAATTATTGAACATCTCACGAAGATGAGATTTGGTGACATGGAACGCCATAAATCTAAGGAGATGAAAGAAGTAAGTTTTGGAGGACAGTGCACAGTTAAAATATGCTGAAAAGCTACCCAGATCTTTTTTTCCCCATAAACACCTGAATGTAAGAAATTTGTAAGATTCTGCTTTTTTTTTATACTGATGTCCCATCCAGAGTTTATCCTGCCTTGTGCCCAGTCCTGCCCATGTTAGGCTCTAGTTCACCATGAACCTTAATTGAAAGTGGATAATTAAAAGTGATGTGATGTGATATTTTTCTGAATTTGGGAACAAGGTGATTGCTCCCTTTAGGATCATGTTATGATAATCAGTCATAGCCTTAATATTGTTCTTTTCATTCCATTTACAAATGGGAGGAGACCCACATCATCCATTGCTGAAATGTTTAGTAATAACACCAGAGTGATATGCGACAGCCATTATGCACCAACAGCCCCACTCCATATGAGACCGGCTGGAGAAGTAAGACGTTGCTTTAGCAGTTGAATTCAGAGGGAAAGGAAAAGAGTTGTCAATCACAGACATTTTTACAATCCCATAAACTTAATATCCCTGTACGTTATACCACACAAACCTAGAGGTGCAATGTTTCTTCTTTATTTGGGGTTTTCAGTATGCTGGTGGTATTTATGCAAGACTGGAGGCTCAACTCAAAGCATCTTTACAAGCCAGCAGTCGTCAGCCCAGCTCAGAGAAGAACATAAGGTAATGTTAGACAAGGAAAGGTACAGAAATCTGCACTGTTTAAATGGTTTTTAGATGTAGGTGTTTTTTGTCTTTCTTGTGTCTGCACATACTGTAGGGTCCTATACTTCACTTCAAAACACTGCAGTCTTTTCTCTCTTTGCATTATTTATCGAAGTTATGTGGTCTGATGTTTATCATTTCAGTACATACTATCCTTAACTCTTATGAACTGTATCCAACCTATATTGTAATGAATCAGGGGATCCTTTCAAGTAAATGGGAAAGTGGCTGTTCACTTCACCCATCAGCAGGTTGTGTGATACATTCTGCACCCTAGGCGTTCTTTCTCTTGCTGTAGAAATATATTAATAATACAGTATCGCAGATAGTATGCAATTATTTTAAAGTACAAGGCAAAAATAAACAATATTATATGAAATATTTTTAATGGCAGGATTATACCCTGAGATTTTATATTCCTTAAAGGAAAAATCAACTTTTATAGGTTCCATCATTAAATGGACTGTATCCTTGCTTTTATTACATTTATTACACTTATTAGGACTCTTTAGGAATTACAGTATTTTTATCATCTTATTCTCAAAAGTCCTGAAACATAGCAGTTAGCACAGATGTTTGATCACAAAGAAGTAGCAGTCTGTTGGTTTAATAGAGGAACATAAAACTCATTTTTGGCAAGTTAAGCATTTAAAAATAAAACTCTGTATATTCAGAACCATACCTTTCAACAACAGCATAATAGATATCTTTGTATGATGGATGAAGACCTTTAATGGATTTAAATAGGTTTAAACATTTTAAATGCTTAAAGACGCTCACAGCATGATCTTTTAAGGAGTCTTCTTTTTCCTTTTAGTACCTAAATGATGTCATTTTGTTTATGCTTCATGATTAGACAAATGTGTTTTTTTTCCTACATAGGCCGAAGACACGCTTTGGCCAGACTCGTCCAACCTAGAAACTGGGAAACAAGACCATAATATTCTCCATGAACACCCTGGAAAAAGCTACTCTTTTGTCTCAAATCCTAGAGTCATTAACAGTCTAAAATACATCAATTATATGTTAGACCTTTTTGTTCCTTTTGATGAGGTTTCTAATGTAGCTTTAACTTGTTTAGCTTTAAATCAGCTGAAAGCTGTGCTTGGCTCAGGTGACCTTTGGACAAGAATTATTTTTAGTGCTTTCCACCTGCCAGAGGCCAGACGTAATTTTAGAGAGAGAAAATAACTACCCTTTTAAAGGTGTTAGAATAAATACCATCAATGAATTTTAAAATAGAGGCATTAACAAAATGCTGGCATATGATACGAACTGCCAGTCCTTTTTTTAATGAAGTTAGAATTGTCAGTTAGGATTTATTATATGCCTTTCCAATTTTGAAGTTTCTGTTTGTTAAAGACTTTGCTCTCTGGCAGTGACTCCTGTACTGCATGGAGAGAATAAGGGCCATCAGTTGTGCTTCTCCAACATGCCCACCTGTCAGAGCCAATCAGCTTTATACTGACGTACTGTGTAGGCGAGAGACAGAGGTGTGGTTGAATTGTCTGGCAGTGCTTCATGTATATAACATCATAAGAGACTGGCTGACACAAGCCTGCTGCAGGGGTTGGGCATTCTTATATTAATCTGTAAACTGAGTTCCAGCACGCCGTATGGTACGACAAAGAACACTGGATCTTAATGCTCGCAAAAGAAATGGAGCGATTGGTTTTAATATGTAATTTGTTGTGATACTGTGCTCAGCAGCACTTGAACCTCTTAGTTAAAAATCATTTTCTTGTTACAAAAACAAAAAGAGAATCTTAACTGTAAAGATGTAAAACTCAGCTATGATTTATATGATAATAGCCTAAGATCATTGACTTATTTAAAACGATTGGGGCTTCATGAAAGTTCAAGATTATGTTCTCAAATTCCACTAATATAAAATGTCAATACAATTTTAGAAGTAACAGTCTGTCTGCCTTGGCATTTGCTTTCAATTATTTTAAAGGTTTAATTTAACATTAGCATGTATACTACCAAATACTGGGTTTCTTATCAAATATTTACAATAATTTATCATTTGTTTTTTAATATCAGAGTCATCAAGAAAAAGGGGAACAGTCCTGGTCGCTTTCTTCACTTACTCCCCAGGATATAATCCTGTTTTGCACATTAATATCCTGTAAAACATAGAACTTAGATATTCCCAACAGAGCATTGGAATAATATTTAAGTTGTAATATTGTTTCAAATAAAGATGAAGAAATGTTTACATGCATTTTTTTCCCTTTGTATAGTACTACGACTTCAAGGTACTTTTCCACTTTTTGAACCTTGATCATGTACGCATGATTTCCTCTGAGGAAGCATATAAAACCTCCACACTTCTCTCTCTATATTGTTTCTGGAATATTGAAACTCCATGACATGGGTTTCAAAATGAAAAATGTACATGTAAAAATAATGCTGTTATTGTTTCGTGTTTCTTATGAAGACTTAGTGCCAAGGTGTGAGTAACCTGCCTTTTGTGCCATCTGACAAATGTGAGTTTCAGGACCGAATCTCAAGTTACAGTATATGAATGATATTTTACACAGGCAATGTTGAAGAGCTTTTAATTGTGGGCGATACACAGCTGGTTGCAGTCTTGATTTGAAGATCTCATCTAGCAGAGGTTATCAGCTTGGCCAAGAAGCAAACTATCCTCATTTGTGATTCTCAGTGACTTCTAGAATATATACAAAGAGAAGAATGGGTTTATTTGACTATATTGTAACATAAAGGTGGCTAGCCTCTGGGCTTATAATCTATCTCAATAAATTAAAAAAAATGCCTTATTGCCTTGTCATTTAAAATGGGTTGCTTCATTATAGCATACACTGTTATTAGACTAAAGCACTGTCCCTTTTATGGAAAATAATTACACACTTTGAACATTATACTCTCCAAATACACCAAGACAAGGATGTGTCAGTTATACGATAAAAATTCAATTACTGATCTGATCATTATTTTTATAAATTAGGTTTTGAAAATACTGAATGAATCACACTTTTAGTCTAAAAGTATTAGTATTATTACAGTATATAAGCCTAAGTGGCTTGAAGCCAGTTTTTATGGTCTGCCTCTTAAAATACCTTATGGTTTCGTGTCACTGAGTGATGTGGTTCTCTTAAGTAGTACATTGGGACTCGTGAATAGCTAAGAATTGACTTGACTGACTTTGACCTCTTGTTATCTCTTGCATTATAGCAGTACTGAACGTTGTAAATTCTAGTAACCAACCAGATTCTGAAAAGCAGGTGTGGTTGTTTCTAGCTGTAAACCTGTGAAGAAGAAAGGACATTGCCTGTTCTTTTGCACAGGTGGTCCCAAACCCTCACTATTGTAACTGGGCTTCATCTGCAAACAATGGAGACCATGAAGTACCACCACTTTTTGTTCTTCATGTTAATAGGAAATTTGTGTTTTCAAATGAGCAGAGCTGTTGGTGAGTATTTTCTAATGTTCTTTACATGAGAACAGTTATTAAACATGTGACTTTTGGATCATAAATGTAGATGTTTTAGGAGATATTAATAGGTAAAACTTGTCTGACCACTTCAGCTACTGTTAAATTTAAATGATAGTCTTTCTAGGCTTTGTATGTGATTCCAAAGAAAATAAACTAAATTATTAACCTCAGGGACAGAAATAAAGCTTATCTGAAGAATTGTACTACTTTCCAATTTGTGGTATGTTTTTATAAATGATTCAATATTTTTTTCTTTGAGTTTATGTATTCGAAAAAATTAAACGATTCCGAGAGTGTTTAGAATCCTTTTGTACATTTCTGATTCTCTTTCCAGTTTATTACGAGCTAAACAGGAATATTTAATATCAAATGTAGTCGCTTGCACTATAGTGCTGAGTGAAATATTTCACCTTCGATTAAAAAATGTACCACTGTAAAAACTAAATCATTCAATGCCTTAAATCTTCTAGGATAATGAATAATTGGTAAATTGTGTTAAGTGGCGTATCAATGTA